ACAAAATATTTTCATGAGAAATTGACTTTTTCTACTGCCTCAACGTGGACGTCGTCGTCGACGTCGTCGTCATCGCCTTCTTTTGCGTCTCGTCTCGGTCGTTGTCTTCCTGGGCTCGAAATGATTAATGATGCAGCTCTGCGCATTCGTACATTTGTCGACCCACACCAAAGCTTCAGCTCCAGCAGCAGCTCTGCTTTTCTGCATCTGTATTTGTATCTGTATCTATAGCTGTGTCTTTTTGTTGTCAGCTTGAGCATTTTTACTGCATCGCATCGCATCACAACGCATTGCAGCATTTGGCATTTGAAGTAGCTGAAGCTGAAACTAAAGCCGAGAAGCCGTCCAAGTAAGCTGCACATCCGTTCTCCACCTAGCCACTCCCCATCTGAACATTGTTCCCAGCCTGGGCGGACTTTTTTGATTGAATTTGTCATGGCACTCGCTGTGCTCAGCGCCCATCTCTTTTTCCATTCCCCACCAAATTCCAGTAAGTACTTTCAGGCTGTGCCTTTAAAGTTTTGCAACCACAAACTCAAACATAACTCAAGCCACAGAATGTGCCACTTCTAACTCGCCCCCCCCCCCCCCCCCCCTCGGCACCCTTGTGGCAGTTTTAGCTAGATCCAGAAAATTTTACAAGATAAATTGAGGTCATTTTTTCTAAACCCTGAACAGTGTCCACTTTTGGTCATCGTGTTTGTTCTTGCCAGCACCGTTCAAAGGTCCTGCCACAAATTGTGCCCACCTTGTTGACCGCTGTCCCATTCATGTGTCCACAAATGTTCGTAATGTGCATCCTTATGGACTAACACGTGTAAGTGGTTAAGCACAAAACCCACAGCCAAGACCCAGCGTACTTATGCACATGTTTAGTGTCGTGGCGAAAGGAACAGCCAAGGGGCGGATGCACAGTAAAAAAGCCACATTCCTTGGTATGGGACTTGAGAATGATTTAAATGAGGCAAATACACTGAGCCCATTGTCAGTAAAGAATTTAAACGGCATTTAATTGTTGTCATTCATTATTTGTTAAATACATAAATTATCTTATCTGTTATTTTGGACTGTACTAAATCTAAAATGAAGCAAGATTTTTTGCACATATGGCAACATCTCGCAAAAATCATATACAGAGTGCTGCCAAGTCTTTCATATATTCTACGGAGACTATATTTTTTCCGTAAATGGTTGATTAAGAGGCCAACACAATTTTAATTGATATTTAAAATGATTGTTAACTTTGATAGGCACATAAAATACAAAACATTTATTTAAAGCAAGGCTCAAATACACGCTAGAAGTATAATTTATAAGGCCTTCCATTACGACATCTCAGAATGCGCAAGTCCTGGCTACACGACTTAGGCCTTATGTGTAGCCATTTTATAAACTCATTTATTTTTAGTTAAGAAGCGCCTACACACTTTTATGAACTATTTAATTGATAAAAGATGGAAATTTTCTCAAAAATGCCTTTGATACCCCGTTTCCACTCTCGAGATGTGGATAGTTATTTATACATCGTATCGTATCGTATTTTTAAACAGCATTTAACAACTCTTTGCCCGTTTTTACTTTAACCAACCTGCAATACATAATAATGTCATATTTAATTTCTTGCAGTGTAGTCATTTTAATAAGTAATGAAAAACTTACAAGTGTTAGTTACCTTTGGGTACGTTTTGACAACATTTTGCAATTGTTGCAAAATTTACGCTCATTTTAATTTCGGGCTCGGACTGCCAGGGGCAGCAGATGCGTTAAGTGTGGCCGTAGCAGCATTTTTTTTTCTTCTTCTTCTTGTTGTTCGCCTGACCAAAATGCAGACATAAATTTTCACATAGTTGACTGCAGCAGGCGGGCAACGAGACAGAGTGTAAGTGTGGAAAAAGGTCAGACCGAAGCGCTGGACGCAGTAGGAGGTGTAGCAAAGGGAGGGGAGGGTGGGGGGTCAACGAGTGCGTTTAAGTGTTAACATGTAAATTATGCCCTCGGCGCTGTTAATAAGTGTATTTCAAGTGCTGTAAATCATGACTAGCACTTCCGAGCTGAAAATTAATATATAGCATATAAATATATATGCACATATATATGTACATACATATCGTTGGAATCCGATTTAAAACACAAGTGCAAATCTTCAGCTAGGCAGGGCCCAAGTGCTGCTGCACACACAAAGTATCCGACGTAGTTGCTGATAAGTTTCGTTACGTTTTGACTTTTCCGGCATTTCATCCATGCTGATGACGTTTCCAATGCAACGCCCACCACACACAGCGCCGCCCTGCACTGCCCTGCCCGCGCTGCCAAAAATTCATTTTGTAATTTTCAGATACCTTGAATGCCCTAACCAGCTGTCGGGCCATGGCCGGGTACTGGGATTTCATTTTGACCAGGCTGCAGGAATTGCAGCCAACTTGCTTTCCATTTTGCTCCAATCTTGCACAGTGTAACCACCCGGCCCCGCTCTGTCCCTTCCCTCTCTCTCTCTCTACGTGTGTGTGTGTGTGTGTGTGTGTGTACGGTTCGGTTTAGAAAATTATCTTTCTGCTCGTCGTCGCCAAAAAGGAAATCATATTTTCTGCTTTTGTGCACTTTACTTTTCAGTTTCGGTCGCTGGCGGCTGCCTTCGCCCTGCCGTCCCCTCCCCGCCCCACTTCAGACCCCACCCCACCACCCACTCTAGCTCCCTATTTGCCTTTTGCTCGTAAACAGTTTGGTTGCAACTTTTGTGCGAAATTTATGCTTTTCGTACCCTACACTCACTCTCTCTCTCTTGTATCTGGGCACTTTTCGCAAGTGCTCGTAACATGCGACTTGCTTCCCACAGCCTCCCGGTTTGGGGCTCACCTGTATGTTCCTGCTGTTGTGTGTCCCTTTGCCTTTCTATTTGGGCAAATGGGTTGGGTGTATTTGTGTGTATGTGTGTGCCCCACCAGGTGGTGTTTATGGCATCCGCTTTGGCAGTATTGATGAAGGAACTCGCATCTGTAATTCAATCAGTGTCTATGTCTGGCTGCCATTTGCTGGCTATTGAAAGCCCCCCCATTCCCCAGGCCCAAGCTCCGTTCAACTGGAAATTCACGTGCAAGCATTTTCCTTTTTCGGTTGCGAAAATTTCATCGCATCAATGCAAATAAGGTGTGCGCGCAAAAATATCAAAGTGTTCACCTTTACCCATCATATGATATGCGAATATCTTATATAATTTTGTTTTTTTTTTTTTTTTGCCCCTTAATAGTGTATAGTATGTACGATATTCCCAGATACTTGTGAGTTTTGTTTTTAAGACATATTTCGAGTTGAATTTGATTTTTACCATCATTAGCCATGCTTTCCATACTATTTGTATGTTACAATAACGATGTTGCGGGTTGTACATTAATGTGGCAGCTACTGCAATAAAAACAAATCAAATTGTCGTATTTTGTCAATGTCTGAGTGTCTGAAATGTGTCAGAAGAATAACCCAATTTCAAAATGTCAAAGTGCTTCCCTCGACTGAATTGATGAGAAGTTTGAATTAGACATTTAAAAACGAGCACAAGTCATGAATATACTCGGAACTTATGCTTTGCATACCCTGCATTCATTCACAATGGCTCACCAGGGTATATGCATGTATGTAATAGCTGAGCCTTCTATATAAAATAACGTTATAGATTTTCGAACAGCAGCTGTTAAGCCATATTCTCAACTCTCTGCAGTCAGTCCGTTCGATATCAGAGAACTTTCGACTAAATATCAAAATATTTGAACAACTGCCGCGATTTCCACAAAGTCAATAAATATATTTTTTACAATCCAATTTATTTATCTGTCTAGATTTAATGGCACACGCAAATTGCTTAAGACATCTCCGAAGACCTGGTTACAGGGTATTCTTTTCGGTCGCAATTGTCCAAGTAAAAATAATACTGATAGCAAAATTACATTTTGATAGCCTTTTCTTAGGAAAGGAATTTAACATTTTTACACATGAAGGAAAGCTGATCTAAGTAGGCGAAAGGTCTAACAGAACGAGAAAACAAAAAAGATAAACTAGGTTTCTAGCTTTATTTCGGATATTTTTATGTGGATAAACAGTCTTAAGGTTCAGCTCAGCATAAATAAAATCAAAAATATATTCATAATTTAATTCACATTTATTTTACATTACGCAACAACCGATGCTTGTGAAAACACTTAAAGAAAATCGTAAACAAAACCTAAAATAATATTTACTAGAAGGAAATATAGTTTTTTAAAAAGATCACAACTTTCCAAAGCATTATCTGCTTTCTCAGGCATCGAACCCAGTACAAATGCACCCTAACCAGATATTCAAATGAAGTTAACCAAAAGCTGGAGTAGCCCGAAGATGCAGAAGCTGAAGCTGAAGCAGAAGCGGAAACAGTAGCCGAACTACTTGAAGTGTCGCTGGCGTTGCCTCACGCGGCACACGGATTGATTGATTAGATTTTTGTTAATTACTTAACGCTTGAGATTGAGATAGAGTTTGAGATAGCTGGCGATGTGGATGGATATGGGAGATGGGAAGCTGCTCGCGACGCTCGAGAAAACTTGGTAGAGATGCGTTATCCGCATTTGGTGGCAGCCACACGAACATCAGCTGCAGCCGCATTGGGCTAGGTGGCAGACAGGATGCTCTTCCTATAGTTGGCCCACCGCTGAATTAGTTATGGCCGGTGACGAGCTGATGGATTGATTACAATCACAACCAGCCCAGGAGCAGTTGCAGCAGTTGCTCAATACTTCAAGTTGTCGCAATGCATCAGCGGGGCGGGCTTTTGATTCCTGCCAGTCAGTCGTTGTTGTTGCAATTGTTGTTGTTGTTGCAGTTGTTGTTGTTGTTGGTGGTGGTTACGCCCAGGAGTCGAACTCAAGTGTATGCAATTCGTTAGTAGAAGGCGCTCCGGTAACCATGCAGAGCCGGAGCCACGTTCAAATTCACATTTATTCACGGACTCAAACAAGAAATGCAATTTTCAATTGCAGCTGAATTCGTTCCAGAAAACGGCCTGCCCCGACGTCTGCGCACCGCGTACACAAACACGCAGCTGCTGGAGCTGGAGAAGGAATTCCATTTCAATAAATATTTATGCCGCCCAAGAAGAATCGAAATAGCAGCCAGCTTGGATCTGACCGAGCGACAGGTGAGTGCAATTTTACTCCACATTCGACTCTGCCTCTGCTCCGCTTTACTCCCTACCTACCTACCTCCCTCCCTCTCCCTCTCTCACACCCTTTGCCCATTCTGACTCAATTTATTTCAATGCTCAACCTGACAGTCAGTCGGTCGGTGTCTGCACACCCTTCACCTGCTCTTCGAAAGGTGGAAAAATTCCATTATTTCTGATAAATTGCACCACGCCAAGGTTGACAGTCGCTGAGATCCGCACATGTCCGTTGCGGCTGAGCTCTTTTCCTACACTTTTTAATTGCTCTTCTTTCACACCTCCACCTTCAACTATAATTATATAATGCAATTCTTATCGCTATTGCTGCCTTTTTTCAGGTCAAAGTTTGGTTTCAGAATCGTCGCATGAAACACAAACGACAAACGCTCTCGAAGACCGACGACGAGGACAACAAGGATAGCCTCAAAGGTGACGATGATCAATCCGATAGTAGTAAGTGCAGAGTCCGCCAGAAACGCCTATTTAAATTTTATTTAAGAACTAAAGCTGAAGTTGCGCGTTGGCAAAAATATAAACCAACTTTATTTTTACTAAATATCTTCTCAAGAAACGCGATTTTCAAAATAAATAATGAATTTTAAATCATATTTAGAAAGTTAGACGGAAAATACACAAGTTGAATTCAAATAATTATGATTATGAGCCAAACGCGAAACGAAATATTAACCAAAGAGTAATTCAATTATTTCAACTTAACACAGGGATACAAAGGAAGGATTTTCAAAAAAAATGTTTGACTCAAAATAATAATTAAAATTTCTTATCTTGAAACAAGGAAACAATTTTCCGAATTCAACCAAAAGATAATCTAGAGAGCGTCAGAACATAGACCATCAGAAAGTTCCATTTATTTTAAGATTTTCGACAACATTTTAAAGTTTCAAAATAATGTTTGGAGATTCAAAACTAAAAATTGCCAAACGTCTTATATTTATTTATTTATGTCAGATAAAAACTGAATTTGAAATCAAATATCCTATATAAATATAACTAATATTAACAAGAGAGAACGGCTATCTAAGGCATGCCGAAAATTACATACCCTGTAGAATTATGGCTTGCGGGCTTACAGATATCTGAGAAGAATTGTTAAGCTCTTAATTGCTGAGCTCTCAAAACTTAGATTTGACAGATTCTTTCAAGAAAGCTATATGATATAGTGTTCCGATGTTGATTAGCTGCGGCTCATAAATAAGGAGCATAGTGGTTGGACAAGACATCTAGATTTTCCTTACAAGAACCTTCTTTTCGACCGATCGCTGCTATCTCAGCTATACGATATAGTGGGCCGATCCGGCCGGTTCCTACATATTCAACAGAAAGATGGACCTATGCCAAGTTTTATGAAGAGAGCTTTTAATCTACAGACGGACACACAATTATTTCGATTTGGCTGTTGATGCTGATCTTAGATGCTTATACCCACAAGGGCATAACAACCGTATTGATAACAAAGATAACAATAAGAAAATGGGCCCATTTACATTTAAGGCAGCTCTTTAAATTCACAATCCATTCTATGAGCACATTACAAGAACTCGTTGGGAATTAGGTCAGTTTAAAGACAGAGCAAATGATGAGCAAAACGTATGGCAACTCCTATGGCTGCCTCCTGCTCGAATGAACCACGAACCACGAACCACTCAGTTATCTTTTGGCGGGCCACTTTTACTTTTCGAGGCAGAAGAGTAGAATATGCTGTAGCTTATCAATCATTGTCAGCTGGAGGAGGGCTCAACTTTGGCATTTCGCTCGAGACTCGAGCTCGAGAGTTTCCCGTCTCCTCATGCGGCCATAACTAACCCCTTTCGTGATATCTTCAGCTTTAGTTGAGAGTATATTTTTTTTTCGATTATGATTTTTGGTTTTAGTTTTTTGTTATTTTTGTGTTCTTTATAAAAACAAATCATCAATTTTCGCACTCAAACCGTCTGATTTACTTTGATTACCGTGAAACGCAGACTCCAATTCGAAGAAATCGTGTCAAGGCTGCGAGCTGCCCTCCGACGATATACCGGACTCCACGTCCAATTCGCGAGGACACAACAACAACACGCCCAGCGCCACAAATAATAATCCAAGCGCAGGAAGTCGTAAGTGCTGGCAAGCGTAATCAGAACTGGCCAATCAAACTAATTGATCCATCGATCCAATAATAGTTACTCCGAATTCATCGCTGGAGACCGGCATCTCGTCCAATCTGCTGGGCAGCACCACCGTATCCGCCTCGAATGTCATCAGCGCCGACTCCAGCGTGGCCTCCAGCGTTAGCCTGGACGAGGACATCGACGAGAGTCCCATCAAGGTGAAGAAGAAAGACATGGACGGCCATAGCCAGGTATATGTCCAGATCTAATTCCAACTGAGTCCATTAATATGCAACTATTTGCCACGACAGGTCATCAAAAAGGAGGCCGTTTCCACCTCATCCAAGGCCTCGCCATTTGGCTATGAAGCGGGTCCCAGTTTGGCTAGTTTCCGGCGAGACCCCGACGCTGCTGCCGCCGCCGCCGCCTCGAATCCGCCTGCGGCCAAGGCCGGCGGCAAGAAGCGGTATCAGAACGCCAATGCGAATGCCATTGCGATTGCCTCCCCGCTGAGCGACAGCAGCAGCGCGGCTGGTCCGACTGGGTATTTCCCTGGACCTGGCTACTATCCCAATCCGAATGCCAATCCTAATCCGAACCCGAAAACTTTGCAAGCGCCGCAGCAAATACCGCAGGATTATTACGGCAAATACGATATTGAATTCGCCGCCTCGCCGCACCATAACCCGCACAAGCAACAACAACAGCAGCAGCAACAACCGCTTCACGGCGATTATCTAAGTCCCAAACCAAACGCCAATGTGGCTGCCAATGCGAATTTCCATCAAAACAGTCAACAACACCAACACGAACAGCAGTTCTACTACAACTACAATGACACCAATGGCGGCAGCGCGTACATGAACCACCAGCAGCACCAACAGCAGCTGCATCCAGTTGGTGACTTTGAGGCGCCACCTATTAATGGGCCGAGCAACTTCTATGATCCCAAGACACAAACGGGCGGCGCCTACTACGACAACATGAATTTCCAACACCAAAACCAACATCAGTCTGTAGTCTTTCAACAACAGCAGCAGCATCAACACCAGCAACAGCAGACGCCAATAAATCACCAACAGTAAGTAGCAGTCCAACAATAAAGCTTAAAAGCGCCCTCTATGTTTCACTAAGCCAATTAGTGGGGTGAGCAACCGTGCCCTACACTTGACGAATTTAACTTCGCACTGCTCCTCACTCGACGAAGTTACATGCAAGACAACTGCTCCACACAAAACGATGTAGTTGAAAAGCGAACTTTCACTTGCTCCACACCGACATTCGGTATCATACTAACTGAACTGCTTCACACTTAACGAAGCATTTTCGAAAATTAAATGAAAAATTTCTAAATGAACAATTTTTTGCAATCCCTTGCAGGCACATGCACCACATTGGAGCCGGCGAAACGTACAGTGCGCTTGGCTTGCAAATGGAGAACTGCGATGGCTACAACAACTTTGGCGGCGGCTACTATGAGCCCGGCCCAGGTCAGCAACAGCCGCCTGTTCCGCCCACGCACAGCCACCCCCACCCACACGCCCACCATCCACATCATGCCATGCAGGCTCAGGCCCAGGCCCATCCACAACTGCACGCGCACCACAATCCGGCTGCGGCTGCAGCTGCTGTTCAGGTGGTTGCTGCGCCGCCTCCGCCGGCCACGCATCTCAACTCGAATTTCGTGTTGAATGGCGCCGCAGGACCCGTTGGACAGATACAGGCGTTTGCCAACACTGGCGGCTCAGTGGTTGGCGGCCTCGAAAACTCGAACAGCTCTTCGGACTTTAATTTTCTGAGCAATCTGGCCAACGACTTTGCCCCAGAATACTATCAACTGAGTTAGTTCTAGTAGAGCAGAGTTAGAGCACGAGTGTAAATAAACTGCAATGTCATCCATGTAGTTCAATTATCTGACAACCCCCCACCCCTCCCCACACTCCTTTGTCGTAGCACATATCTGTAAATATGTTCGTATGACTGTCCTCGCACCATATGTGTATGTATGTATGTAAGTAGGTAGAGTGATAAATGAAATATCCATTAATATATATATGTGTATGTATATATTTATGGCTCGCTTCAGATCTTTGAGACAGGTAAATCGGTGCAGATTTCATTAAAATAAACATCTGGCTAAAAGCCAGCACGCGATAGAAGTAAACTCTCTCCGTTCAAAAAAAAAAATTAAAAAATCCAAACAAAAAAAACCTAAAATAAATTGTATATAGCTAGTAAAAATTAAAAATACTTTATCGTAAATTTCCACCAGTCCTAATCAAAAAATAAATAATTCCGCCTAAGCATAAGCATAAACTATATAAATCCTATCTAACAAGAAATCAAAAATTAAATACAAATTTGCACCAATTGTGTTTTGTAAATATTCGAATGTAGCTCAAATCGTGTGTGAACATTTTCAATTGAATCCGTTGCGATACAACAAAAAAAAAAAAAAAAAAATTAAAAGAAATTCCATTACGTAATATTATGATTTTAAATTGTATTCGAATAAGTATCAAATAAATGACAAAACTAAAATCAATTGAATTCAATGTTTGTAATGTTTGTATGTTGTTCCAAATTCCCAATACAATTAACTCTAGACTCTAAACAATGAATGAATGAAATAAATTAATAAATATTACCGAAAACTCTTCAAAAGCCAAACATTTCATTAATTAAGTTCGACTTGCGGCATTTGCGAAAAGTGTTCGAGAAACACTTCGCATCCGAAAATAGTTTCTTCCAAAAACTTCTCTCTTTTAATGCTACACTCAAAAAAAAAAACACTTACATATATGCGCTGGCCCTAGCAAAAATAAGAAGAGGAACTCTGACTGACAATTAATGATGGATGAGTTTCGGGCGTTGAAGGGTGCTAAGCCCGTAGAGTGTGGGCTTAGGTTCTGCAGATAAAAACGATTTTTAAGATACGTGTTTGTAAAATTGTATGCATGTAAGATTTTGTGCATAAATTTCACAGTTTGCCAAAAAAAAATTGGTTGAATTTATGGGATGGCACTTTTACGGAATGTAAGTAACTAAAATTATTTCCATTATTATTTTTGATTTTTAAAGCTTAAAAGCGTTCGGTACTTTGTCATCAACGATTAAACGTTTAAATGTAGTACTTCTGGATATATTATCTATTTGAACTAAGCGAAAAAAACAAAGAAAATAATTAAATTTCCATCAGGGAATCGAATTATTATAAGCAATAGAAAGTCAAAAGGATAGAAAGCAAGCTTTGTTAATGAAATAATGAAAATGTATCTTTCATGTATAGCTCTATGTAAGAATCTGCTTCGATTTAAGCCTATTCAATACAATATCCAGTTGCTTATTGAAACTTGAAGTGAGAACATTTACGCTTCATTTGGTCATTGGTCGCAGTTTGTGTCCCAAAGGACTCCGCCTGAGCCCATTCGTCAACCAGCAGAATTTCTGCGTTTTGCTGTCAACATTTCATGGACTTGCCCAGTCCCAGTCCCAGTGCCAGACCCATTGCCAGTGCCAGTCCTAGTCCCAGTACTAAGCCCAATCCCAGTCCCCTGTCGTCGACTGCGCACAATTCTGACAGAAGCGGTGAAAATTTAAGATTGATCACCCGGTCGAATGTTTGTCAAAATTGCCTCCTGGCTGGCGTCTGGGCAGAGTAACGGGTCGGCAGCCGCATCCGTGTCGAGGTTCGTGTATATGTCGAGTGCAGGCTAAAACCTAAACAATGTCACAACCTGTGTCCCGTCTGCCACCTCGCCCCTTGCCCGAAAGCCGCACATCCAATATGCAAGTAGGAGAGGGTTCGTATTTGCAGATACTTCGATTAAACACGTAGTACAAGAGATTTGGCTATTTGAAAATTAACTACATTTGTTAGTGTAAATGTAGATGAAAGCATGAAAGAGGGGAGAGACAATGTTGATCATGTGTGAATGATTCAAATTCTCTCTCGAATTAAAATTCTCTCTCTGCCTCTAGATTTGATGTCCCTCTGAGAGATATTCTGTATAACAGACGCTTTGCAAGTGCCAAAAACTAGCATACACGCTTGCTTTTACTGTTCTAAGATATTATAACAAGCAGAGAGCGAGCAGAGAATAGACTCAACATTTGGCTATGGCGTTCTCTTTGGGTGGCGGCAGACTATAAAACCAACTAAAATCTACTTAGCACTTAAATTTTACACTTAAATATACATACACACATTTGTTAATAGTTGGACTTACATAGGCACTCAAAACTAACTGTTCCTGTGGAAAGCAAAACACAATTACAATCACAAGCACAGCAGCCCCCGCGTACGCACAAACCGTTCGGCAGCTGAGAGAGTCTCTCTCACTTTCTCAATTGCATAAGTGTGCCCAGCTGTCCAATGTTGTTGTTGGCGCTCCGTCAATTGCGAATGTTGGCGGAACCTCAACGTTATGCGTCACATCAAGCCTGCATCAATAAATACAAATACACACATACAAATGTATCTGCGCACATTTCCAATGTCAAAATTTCCCAGTTTTCTCTTAGCTGACAAACAAATGGGCCCAATGTTGTCCCGGACGAAAACAGACAAAAATCGAATAATAAAATGGCCGTCGCTAGAATTTAAATGGCTGACTCAGGGTCAATGTTGCTTACTTTTGTTTGTTATACATACATATACAAAACTAGGAGACATTGGTTTAATATGCAATCTTATTTATTTAAAAACAATATACAATACATAAATAACACACTAAAAGAACAAAGGAAGAACAAAGCAGAAAACAGACAACAAACAAAAGGGGGAGTGAAAGGAAGAGTGAGACAGTTGAAGCAGAGATAAAAGTTTGTTAGACAGTCAGTACAAGCTCTTAATAAAAGCAAAAATCCTGCGAGCCTTACTTGAACTCATGAGAATCGCATAAAACGGCAAAGAGTAAAAAATAGTTTATTTAATTTGCAGTAGAACGGAAAGTAGACTTGGCATATAATCAAATGCGATCAAATGCTTAGTTTTAAACTTAGCTAAAATGTTGGTACGTATTAATGACAGAAGAAAAGGGGGAAATCGGAGCTGAACAAACGCCCAGGCATGTCCTGCTCAATTTAATTAAATTAAACCATTGCACACTTAACTTTTGGTTAATGCTTGATCGAAATGTAATGGGAATTGAGACCACAAAATATATAAAAATAACTGCACGACTTTGGTCTGGCTAAGGTCAATGCCGTATAGACTTGCGAAAGTTCGAAGAAGAAATCGAAATTCGTATTGAAATTGATTCAGTAGCAAGCCAAACGTCAACAAGTCTTTGGCTCTGCCTTTGCCTTTGCCTTAGCCTTTGGCTTTGGCATTTTATCTGACGGATAACGACGCAAAGTAACTGGAATTTAGAGCTGGTTAATTACAATAAATGGCCATTAACACTGTACGCTGGCATTAGGGCAAGGCATTTGAAGAGCTGCCGTTTTGTTGGCCACGTTAACAACGCCGGCGATGACAAATACGATGACGTTGACAAATATGCGGGTTTGTAACGAAAAAAATGTACAAGCATTTAACCAAGTTTGTTGTTGATATTTTTATGGGAACAATGTCAGCATCTGGGCTGGCAACTGGAGCAGTTAGTTAGCTATGTAGTACACCAAACCTTAACGGCCCTGTGCAGGCCAACTACCAACTGGCAACGGGCCAACAAGTGAAATAATGGCAATTAAAGTAATACAAACCAGTTTGCAGTTAACTTACTTTTTGGCAGCACCACACATACACAAACACACCTGCACACACACAGACACACACATGTGGTTTATTTCTTTTGATCCATAAGTTCCAGTCATAGGCTTTTGTGGGGGCCCCTCTGACCTTGATATACATACATTATTGTTCACATGCGACTGCTTGGAATTTGTGTAAAGCAATCATAACGAAATAAGTATTAAAACATTTTCATGCATATTTTTATAATCGCAATTTGCACACCAAGATTTTAATTAAGCTAAACTATTTCGTTTTACTACACTGACAAAAACTGCCTACTTACACTTTAATGTTAAGCTTTGCGTTAGGTGCTAAAAGAGTTTATACAACATTTTTTAAATATGTTAATTATGTATGCCTTTGAGTCGAATAGAAATATTTTAAAAATTTAAAAAAATATAATATATATATATATATATTTTTATACCCTGAACCCATTAAAAATGGGGAAAAGGGTATATTATATTTGCGCAAAATCGAAATGTATGTAACAGGCAGAAGGAAGCATCTTCGACCCGATAAAGTATATATATTCTTGATCAGCATCAATAGCCGAGTCGATCTAGCCATGTCCGTCCGTCTGTCTGTCTGTCCGTCCGTCCGTCCTTCCGTCCGTCCGTATGTATGAACGCATTTAGACGTAGATGCTCCTAGTTCCCGCAGATCGAGTTTGTTTCCGATAATCGATAACTTACTCCGCTTCCAAGCAATCGATAAAAATCGATATCGATATCCTGTTTTTTGGGCATTTTTGGTAAATAATAAGAGCTAGAGTCACCAAACTTGACATATAGCTTCTAAAATAGAATATATATATGCATTTGATGTTGGAAGAAGAGGGTTCAGGGTATCCCCTAGTCGGGAGCTCCCGACTAGAACCTCTTACTTGTTAATAAATATATATATGATTGAAGTAATATCCAATTTTCAAACTATTTATATATTAATAAAAACCAATCCCATGCATAATATATAAAAAAGAATCAGATCTAGATTTTCCTTTCGAAACTAGAGAGTGTCGAAAAATGCGGACAAACCAAAAGTTTATCTAACCTTTAGAGAACTTTATCAAGTGTTCAAAACCTATCGATTATATATAATATCAAATTGTTCGAACCTTTAGAGAACTTTATCAAGTTTTCAAGACCTATCAGCTATATACATGTTCTATATGAAATGCCAAGACAATGTCCCCCTTCAATGAAGCTCAGAATCCATCACCAAAATGATGTTATATAGTTAGATAACTTCATCGATCTATGACTGTAAACAGTGGGAAATTGTTAAGTAAACACACATGAGACAATTTGGTAGCCTATTGTAATATTTTTTCTGTTTATTGGTTACACCTAAACTTAATCACAAATGAAAATTTTGTTCAAGGGCCGAATATGCATTTGGAGGGTTCTTCCAACGGGTCCGTGCGATTCAATGCCTTGTGACGAGTGCCAAACGGCGAATCGGCCTGGCTAACAATCGAATGCCATTGCCTGCCAGCCAAATGTCATCATCAGGTGTTGTTGCTGCCGGTGCTGGATGATGTTTAGATGTGCAAAGCCAAATATATGCCGAAAGAGTTGTAGTAGTTGTTGTGTGCCGAGCGTTGGACGTTGGGCGTTCGGCGTTGGGCGTTGGCCGGACCGGAAATCAAGGATTACATTCCCATGGAGTTGGCAGCAGCTGCTCTGCGATCTGTGCTGGATGAGCGCAAACTGCAATTGAGACATAAAAACCGGTTATGTCATAGATATTCCTTAAATTGTTTAACCGTTTCTTAAAGCTATGCTAATTACAATTTGCAGAATCGCATTCTGCGCTCCACTGTGCTGCGTCCACTGTTAACCCGTAATTGCCGTAACGAATCCAATTGGTGGCTGATGTCCTTGGCTCAATTGCTGGCCGTGAGCCCAACCTCTTGGACTCAGCACAAAACACTGAATGAGGCGGACAGGAGTCCCGCACTCCTATTTATACGAGCCACACGCTGCGAAAGCCTGTTTTGCTGCTTGATTCTGGCCGGCGATCCTTTAGCTCACTTGATCGGGTTTTACATTTTCGTTGTTGTTGTTGTTGTTGTTCATGTGCTTTTATTATACCCTAGCCGAGGGTATGCCTGTTTGTTGCGAAATATGCCTTGCACAAGAGGAGACGTCTCCGTTCCCATGAACTATATACATATATATTTATATATATATATAGTATAGTATTTAAATACATATAGCCACTCCGCCTGGCTGTTTTCTATGAACATTAGTCTCTCAGTTGTTAATGGATACGACTCATTTTCATAAATTTTCACACATATGTCGAAATAGGCCAGACCGGACAACTATACCTAAAAGCTAACATAGGAATAATCGTTCGCAAGACTAGTTTTCGTATAAACGTCCTTTTGTTCTTTAAGATATCTTCAACAAAATTCTATCTACATTAGTCTACTATATCATATAGCATTCGAACGTTAGAACAATCCATCCTGATTAACGTTTATGTATAAAAACTCTTCAAAGTTGTATGTCTGCAAGGGTATTAAATCATCGACGTGCTAAATACAGCAATACTTTCTTGTTTTTATTTTTATTTTTTTCTCTTTTGTTTTGTCTGCTCGCATTGTCAGTTCGCATTGTTGTTGGGCTTTCGGTTAAGGCAGATGATAATATGATGATGATGAAGTTGAGAAGGGTCCGCCCGGCACAGTCGATATATCCGATGTGTGCGCACCTAAAAAACGTGCAATCTTCCACTTGATTAGTCCGATTTAAGCAGAAACAGAAATCCCTTCACAAGGGTCAGACTAAACACGTAGCAGTTGGCTAGCTGCGCTTACAACATCCCGACCTTGAGGCACCCCAACAGAATAGTTCTTGTCGGGAAACGCACAACAGGTGCAAGGAGTTATCTGTCACAGATATCTAGAATGGCCGCAAATGATTTCAATTGTGGGAAACTAGAGTTTAATTTGGCTTTTTTTACTGCAGCTCTAGCATAATTTTGTTTATTTATTTCAACAAAATATCCCTTTTGCCAGAGCTGTTGCACATACGCGTATTTATCATTTGAAAATTGAAGTCATGACCCCAGGATCCCGCCGACCCTTCAAATGCATGTATAAATATATATATATATATATATATATATATATATATATATATATATATGCAAATGTGCCTCTCACCCTGCTTGCCCGGCTGGCAAGAATTTCGAATTGTGTCTGCAGACAGCCTGACGAACCAGGATCATACTTAAGGCAGGACAACGGCGCAACGCAGTTCGTTGCACTCTCGTTGCGAGTGAAAGCGAAGCCGCAGTGGCGGCAGCAAAGGTATGAAACATCCTTAAAGGATTTCAATTTCAAACAAAAGTCCTGCGGACGCCAGACGGCAGGACATGAACTGCAGCACTGCAAATACTACGACTTCGAAATCCTTTTATGCTTTCCATTGTCTGTGAACTTTTTCCGTTGTTTCGACTGGCTGACAAACAAGTTATGAGCTCCTCAAACGCAAAAAAAAATCAGCAAAAACAGGATAATAGTGCGCAGAATGTGAACGACCTAACCAATTATCAACAACTGCAATTGGAATTGCCGGTCCAGGTAAATGGCATTTATATTAATATTATTGCTTATTTGAATACGCGTTGTGCTGCTTCAGACGGCACCCAAATATTCTAAGAGAATTTTTTCTGATTAAAAATATTGTCGTTGTATAAAAGATATTTCTAATATGATTTCTTAACTAAAACGATTATAAGCCCATTCAAATTATAATTCCGCAGAAATTTCTTGTCTAAACTGTATCTATCTGATACGTATTCCTAAGAAATTATTTTCTTACGAAGAAATTTTATCAAACTGCTGTACAAATTAAATAATTTAAGAAACAATAATATAATTAAGAGATTGACACTAAATTGCTAAGAATTTCATTAAGTTGAAAATAAAATAAAATGTTTATGTATATATATATATATATATATATATATATATATATGTATATATATATAAATAGTTCGTTTCTTACCTTCAAGTCTGCATAGGTCCTTGAAATACCTAAATACAACTAAGCAAAATCTGACACGCTGCTTTATAAATGTTGTTTTGTACTAAAGAAAGTCTATAGAAGTCAATGCAACTATAAGTTGGGTATAACTGTAGCCTTGATCCAATATAAACAATTAATTCAAATATATATTTATGATTTTTTACCAAAAATGTACCAATATTCTGATTTCTTCTAATTCCAAATAAAAATCCATTTTAATTGTAATCCAAGATATTCTAATATACATGTATGCATTATTTTATTGTGGATGGCAATAAATAAATGTACATCAATATGAGCAACGATACTATATACGATTATAAACAAGATTTAAACATTTTAGTGATGGTAGGCAACGGCTGGTGCGGAGTAGGTGGCGTAGTGAGCAGCGGGGGCAGCATAGTGGGCTACCTGAGCTGGGGCAGCATAGTGGGCTACCTGAGCTGGGGCAGCATAGTGGGCCACCTGAGCTGGGGCAGCATAGGTGGAGTAAGCTGGAGCAACAGTCTTGACAACAGCTGGGGCAGCATAGTGAGCCACTGGAGCTGGAGCAGAATAGTGGGCAACTGGAGCGACTGTCTTGACAACAGCGGGGGCGGCATACTGGACAGATGGAGCGGCATAGTGAGCCACTGGAGCTGGAGCAGCATAGTGAGCGGGCGCGGCATAGTGGGCAACGGGGGCGGCGGCAACGGTCTTCACAACGGGAGCAACAGCGACGGTCTTGACCAGAGGTTCACGGTTGACCACAGCGTTAAAGCCGTGAACGGGATCTGCGGTGTACTGGACGGTGCGCTTGTAGCCATCGGCATCCACTAGTGAGTACTCGCCACGGACGACATCGCCATCGCGCTCCTCCACCTGACCCTTGGAGTCACCGGTCAGCTTGTCATCGACTCCGTACGAGAAACGGTACTGGGGATGAGGATCGTACTCCTCGTCGGACTTGACTACCACCTTCTGGGCCACAGCCACGGGGGCACCATAAGTGGCAACTGAAGAAGCTGCGTGATAGGCCTCGGGCACATAGCCAGCGCTGGCCATGGCGACGAAGGCGAGTGCGAAAACAAACTGGAAAGCGCCGAGATAATCCATTAGCACAAATAAGTGTATCCATTGTCCAGGGGTACTCACCTTGAATGCCATGTTGTTGCTTTTGGGGTTTAGTTGAGTTCTTTACAGAAGTGAACTTGATCGTCGAATGATACATTTCTGGGCGTAAGCCTCAACTTATATAGCGAATCGGCGACGCGGCTGCGCTGCTGCGAGTGAGTTTTATTTTCATGGTGACAGCAAAGTTTTAATGTTTTGGACGTTGATTGTTTGCTGGCGATTACTGATACTTCCTGTTCGAGAGTAAGTACTGTGGGTGTGCAAGTAATCATGTTTTGATCTGCAAGAACTATAGCCAAAAAGAGAAAGATTCTGGTCTCATAGGAAAAGCACGTGTGCTGAACTGATATGCAGATTTAGAAAAGCTTAACGTAAAATATATAGATGTTAAGGCAATATTATATATTAACTATAAAACGTAAATAAAAAATGTTGACAGCCTGAATTAAGCTTTAATGATCGACTCCACATGCTGATAAAGTTATTTGAAGCTCGAATTGGGGAAACCAATAGGAGTTACGCCTTATCAGAAAATATGTTCTGCTTATTAGAATTAGAAATCCAGCTTAAAGAAATTTACGTAACATTCTTAAAGAGAATATTTGAGTTGTGGTAAATATATTCTGAAAGTTGACATATGCACATTATGGACACTATCCAAAAACTAATAAATATCATTCAAATAAAGAAAGATAAAAAGCATATACATGAAAAATAATATATAAATAAAAATATATAATATGTATAGATATATAATGTAAATAAATATATATAAAATACCAATACCAATAAAGGCTTTCATGTAGATCATTTGGCTGAAATAAATGATTTATTAAATATGTATTAATTGGATAATCTTTTTATATTAAAAGCTCATTTTAATAAAATTAATTTTATTTTTAATTACAACACACGACAAATAAAACTGGCTGTAGGAAAAAATGCTGTAATTTTTTGTAGTGTAAATAAAATAATAATAACTTGTCAACGCATCATATGGACGTATGGGATTATTAAGCAGTCCGTTTTTAGATTGTGCACACACAGTTCAAGGGCACATTTACTGTATACCTAAATATACCTTACCTACAGCACATCCTTACGCCCACAGTTCCCTGCTGATATTATAGCAATTCCATTTTATAATCTTTCGCATAAGCAACTGTAATTTGATCGAAAAAAGCAATTTGCCTGTACGTGGGTTACTTTTGAGACGTTTTCGTAGTTGAAAAGGAAATCCCAAATCCTTTCTAAATAATATACCCTTTGCCACTGCACTTGCTGTCGCTGCCCCTGCCCCTGCCCCAACCACAGCAGCACTGTGCCCTGTGCAGCTTGACAATCTCTTCTGCTGCCTGCCGTGGTGACTGCGCTAATTTCGAACATGAAACGCAGAAGGCCACAGTTAAGCACCTTACGGTTACCGCTATGCAGATATAATCAAATCGGCTATCAGTGAAAACTTTGCGACTGCCTATAAATACCTTGCTCAGCCCAGAAACAGTATCATTCGACATCCGCTCTTGCTTCTGTAAAGAACTCAACCAAATCACAAAAGCAACAACATGGCATTCAAGGTGAGTACCCCTGGACAATGGATACACTTATTTGTGCTAATGGATTATCTCGGCGCTTTCCAGTTTGTTTTCGCACTCGCCTTCGTCGCCATGGCCAGCGCTGGCTATGTGCCCGAGGCCTATCACGCAGCTTCTTCAGTTGCCACTTATGGTGCCCCCGTGGCTGTGGCCCAGAAGGTGGTAGTCAAGTCCCACGAGGAGTACGATCCTCATCCCCAGTACCGTTTCTCGTACGGAGTCGATGACAAGCTGACCGGTGACTCCAAGGGTCAGGTGGAGGAGCGCGATGGCGATGTCGTCCGTGGCGAGTACTCACTAGTGGATGCCGATGGCTACAAGCGCACCGTCCAGTACACCGCAGATCCCGTTCACGGCTTTAACGCTGTGGTCAACCGTGAACCTCTGGTCAAGACCGTCGCTGTTGCTCCCGTTGTGAAGACCGTTGCCGCCGCCCCCGTTGCCCACTATGCCGCGCCCGCTCACTATGCTGCTCCAGCTCCAGTGGCTCACTATGCCGCTCCATCTGTCCAGTATGCCGCCCCCGCTGTTGTCAAGACAGTCGCTCCAGTTGCCCACTATTCTGCTCCAGCTCCAGTGGCTCACTATGCTGCCCCAGCTGTTGTCAAGACTGTTGCTCCAGCTTACTCCACCTATGCTGCCCCAGCTCAGGTGGCCCACTATGCTGCCCCAGCTCAGGTAGCCCACTATGCTGCCCCAGCTCAGGTAGCCCACTATGCTGCCCCCGCTGCCCACTACGCCACCTACTCCGCACCAGCCGTCGCCTACCATCACTAAAATGTTTAATTCTTGTTTTTATTCGTATATAGAATCGTTGTTCATATTACAGTACATTTATTTATTGACCTCGACAATAAAATTAATGCATACATGAAACATAATTAACTCTTTCTGTATCTAATCATCGTTAAGCGAGCAAACATGCCAGCTATAAGTATTTACAGGATATACCATCTGGACTTATCGCATTTGATTTAAAAATAACATTAACCGATTACACCCACACTCATATGTGGTTAGCTTTCGGCAAAAAGTGTTTACAATTAAATTTGGTGCGACATTGAAATTCCAAAGTCAGGTAAGGTTTTCAATTACGGCCACATTTGTTACACTAGCCAACAATCACCATGAAAATTAAGTAATCCCATCAACAAACAATGTATCAATACTTATAGCCATGACTGTGACTACCTCCGTAATTTAAGTAGCCACAAGGGGAATTCATCTGAAAGATATATATAGATATATACCATTCTTAGATCGTGATTCCGGTTGATGTTTTAAAGTTCATTTATATTAAGCAAATTTTTGCCGGCTTCGGCATTTCCCATTCCGTTCCAAACATGACTCGCTCTATTTTACTGGAACTGGTTTGACACTAGCCAGACGCACGTCACACCCGTCCACAGAGATCAAAAGTTCTATTACCGTTTTTTATTTACGTTTGAGTAATGGTTGAGTAATGGGATTGAGCCTTTCTCGTACTTAAATCCGACTTTTTATTTAATTATTTTTTGATTATCAGTAAACAGGGCGGGGATCACTTAAATCAAACGAATTGAAATTGAAAGTCTGTGAGGTCAATGAATTCTCGCAAGAACTGAAAAAGTTTACTTTGACTTGAATTATATCTCTATACACAAATCTATTTCTCCCGACAAACGCACTAGCAATCAACGTGTAGCCCAAGCCGTAAGAGATAGAAGAACTGAAATTGTACTGGTTTGCTCATGTGGTGTGAAAAAATCTCGGAAAATATATGTATGCATTTTCTTCACTATCAAATATCTTTGTAAAAATTCATTTCAAACCTGTTTCACACTTTTCGCAAAATGTGTTCCTTTTTAGTGCATATAGCGGCTCATCGGTTGAGATTGATTGATTCCAACTCTTGGTTCTTGATTCGGTTTCGATCTTAAACACATTTAGTATCTATGTAAAATATAACTTCAGACATATTGGGTAGATTTATATTTGCCATTGGCGGCAAATGTTGATAAAACTAATGCATGGATTTAAGGAATATTTTCAAAATCTCTATTATATCACTCTAAGAAATGACCTTAAATGAAATTCTTTCCATTTAAATAGCGACCTATTTAGTATTACATCATTTTGCAAAGAGTTGAGTCACTTTATACTTTATGCATGCATATGTGTATAAGTGTGTTTGTGTGGGCTTGTTGTGGCATGATTGAGCACTTATGCCACAAATCGATAGTAACAAAATACATATGTAGTGAAGAAAAAGCTTCAACCTGAAAGCTCAGGTATTACATGTATTACAACGAGACGAGAGTCTTGGACATGGGCCCGATGCCCATAGTATTGGTGAGTAGCCACTTTTTTTTTCAATATTTTTGTAGCTTTTTAGGTCATTGCAGTGCGCCAACTGGACAGCTAGTGGGTAGGCAGTGTGTGTGTGTGTGTGTATGTGTGTGTCAAGTGCAATGCTGGCATCGATCAAGTTGTCTTTATTGGGTTACTTACATGACTCGACGCGGCCGTAACCCGACCCCGATCCCGGTTGCTATCGAAGCCAAGTTGCTCGCCTAAGTCTTTTGTTAGCTGCGTGTGTTTTTGTTTGCCGGCTATTTCGTACCGCCGTCTTCCATTCATAACAATGGCAACGATACGAGAGCGAGTTGGCCAAATGGGTGTGACTCGTGGGTGCAAATCAAGCAAGCAATGGATCGAGCGGCGAACCGTTTGGTAACTGAAGAAAAAAATCCATACAACGAGAGACATGCAAATGAATTAAAATTCAAATTATTTGTGTAAAACTTACGAAAAAGTGAAAGAAAGGCCAGAAACAATGGAGATTGAAGCTCTGGCCCTGGTGGCCACCATCAAATTTCGTCTATAAATACAAATGCAATTGGTGTTCAATTATTATTCACAGCACGGACTTCGGCAGAAGGAGTACATAGCGTTCACAGCTCAGTCTTAGTCTTAAAACCTAATAATCCAAGCAAAATGGCTTTCAAGGTGAGTCCAATAATCCCAGGTGTAAGAAATATTTTGATCATCTTCTCCGTTTTGCAGTTCGTAGCACTGATCTCCCTAATCGCGGCCGTATCGGCTGGCCTTATTCCTGTGGAACACCACGAGCAGCCACAGCTTTATCACGCTGCGGTGCCGCAACAGCAGCATGTGATCTACCAGAAGCCTCACGACATTCACGCACACGCCCACGCCCATGAGGTCTATCCCGATGATCCTCATCCCAAGTACAACTTTGCCTATGATGTGCAGGACGCCGTGTCTGGCGACTCCAAGAGCCAGGTGGAGTCCCGTGACGGTGATGTGGTGCAGGGCGAGTACTCCTTGGACGATGCCGACGGCTTCCGTCGCACCGTCAAGTACACCGCCGACTCCGTTAATGGATTTAATGCAGTCGTCCATCGCGAGCCCCTGTCGCATACACACCACAAACTGGTGGCTGCTGCTCAACCTGCGCCCGTACAGTATCACCATGCCGCTCCCGCCTACGCTGCGCCCACCTATGCCGCTCACGCACAGCCCACATACAATGTTCACCATGAGCACGAGCCCCAGCACCACCAGCACCAGGAGCACTATGCCACCTACGAGACTTCTGCTCCAGCTACTCATGATGCCCACGACTATTATCATCACTAGAGCTGCGACTGGCGCCGACGAAAGTATTATTGCATCCTCCATTTCACGTTTCCATTGCTAAGCATATCTAGATCCATAGGCTCTGTTAAATAGTTCTATTGTAAATATTTTAATAAATTTATTAATGCATCAAAATTCTGGGAAAAAAATTATTTATTATCGAAGGATATCATATATTTGAGATATGATATGATATAGACGGTATAAAATCCGAAATGAAGCTAATTGAAGAGGAGGTCTTTGCGCTTCAATATTTCAGAAAGTAGTTGCTACAAGTTAGGAGCGCTAGGCTTAAAGGTAACCTGAACGAACTTAAAATACACTAAACAAAAATAAAACATTTTGTACTTGTTTCTTTCTTAATAATATCATTATAGTTAGCATCATATATATGAACATAAAACATATAATATTTGTTTAATTATGGCGAGAATCGAATAATTATTATCAGTTAATTATCAATATATTTTATAAAACAATTTAAAGGTGGCCCTCCTGATTTAGATTTAATGTAGCATTTGTGGATAGCTGGCAGCTTATCGAACAGCTGATTGACAATTTGCGTAAAAGTAAACAAAGGTGAAAAAGCATAAAGTACGAAAAGAAAGTGTGAAAAAATCTAAGCCTCACATTAATTATAGTTTGCTTGCAGAATATGTGGTTTTTTTACTTATTCTATTTTCGCTGCAATATTAACATGTTCAGCTATATTTCCATCTGTCTGTTTTTAACTCCTTTTCATGCAATAAATAAATAATTATTAACATTTCAACAGTTTAAGAATGTAAATAAGCACTAAGTGGCCGCGTATTTTCCTTGAAGAAAAAGGTGCACACAAGCAAAAGAATCTCAATATTATGCTTTTCCCCAACGTTTTTAAATATACGATTGATTAACTAGAGTTACGCTTATTTATTGCAAAAATAAAGCAGTTTAAATGGATTTTAAAAATAAATATATAATTACAAAAGTCACGTTAGGTTAGATTATGACGACAATTTAGGCAGCTGAAGCCAAGCACTTTTGGATATATTCAAATTGCTTTGATTTTTCTCAAATTAGGTGAAAGAAATAACACCTTGAAAATGCTTCCACTATATGTACTATCAATTACTTAGGTATCGATTGGGCAATGTTAGAAAGATCCGAATTTCATCAAATTGGTAAAAGAATAATCTTTTCTTTCCATAGAAGGCATTAAACATGATCAGCCGCATTAGCAGTCAACAATCAGAGCATACACTTTTGTATGAATGCGATGTGTAATTTATATAGTTTAGCTCTCTATATAGCTCCATATGTTTTTATTTTCGCATTTGAGCTAACCGGTTTGGCATGCCAAAAGTATCCGGTAGCAACAATGGCAGTTTTTTTGCAATTGTAATGTCGCGCACACAAATTGAATGTCAAGTAGCCGCGGGCAGATTTTGGCTGCGTACTTGATGGTTGTGTAGATCGGAGTCCGGAACCTCGACGGTACATGCGTCCATGAGCATGAGCAATGGTATGTCCAATTGCCAGACAAGACCCAATTTGCTCCACATTCTTCACACAAATGCCCAAACGTATTGCGTTCGCCCTGCACTCAATACTCGGCTCGGCTTGGCTCGGCCTTTCGTTCCTCTTTGTTTCCAACGGAGCTTGTATGTAATTTGCTTAATAATAATGAGCAGCCGCAGCAAACGCACAACCTCGGGCATGCACCTGCCCATGTCCAAATGCCATTTGCTCTATAAAAACCGCAGACTGCTCAATTTCTAATCATACTGCAGACTTCACTCCATTCGATAGCACACGCTTTTAGTCACACACCAAGCTCTTCAAAATGGCATTCAAGGTATGCGTATCTGGAGTACCCATTGACGAACTGCAGCAGTTTATGTAATACCCATTCCTCTCTAGTTCATCGCACTCTTCGCTCTGATCGCCGCCGCCAGCGCCGGTCTCCTGCCTGCTGCACAGGTCTACCACGCTGCGCCCGCAGTGGCCCACTACGCCGCACCCGCTGCCGTTGTCAAGACAATTGCGCCCGTGGCCCAGCACGTGATTACCAAGGCGGCCGAGGAATACGATCCCCATCCTCAGTACAAGTACGCCTACGATGTGCAGGACTCCCTCTCCGGTGACTCCAAGAGCCAGGTGGAGGAGCGCGATGGTGATGTGGTCCGTGGCGAGTACTCGCTGGTGGATGCCGATGGCTACAAGCGCACCGTCCAGTACACCGCAGATCCCATCAACGGCTTCAACGCTGTGGTCAACCGTGAGCCCCTCGTCAAGGCCGTTGCCGCCGCCCCCGTTGCCCACTATGCTGCCCCCACTGTGGCTCACTATGCTGCTCCAGCTGTGGTGAAGACAGTGGCTCCAGTTGCCCACTACGCTGCTGCGCCCGCTGCCCACTATGCCACGTATGCCGCCCCATCTGCTGTGAAGACCGTTGCCCCGGCTTACTCCACCTATGCCGCTCCAGCCGTACACGTGGCTCATCATTACTAAATGCCATTTTGTTATACGTGTTGACTGAAACTGATTGCAATCAACTTGCCAAGTTTAAATAAATTACATAAATTCGTTTACCTTTACCTAACATATGGTTTTACTCTTCTTATCCGTCTGCTTAATTTTAGAAGAAATTGGATCTCAAAAATAAGTAGAATTTCGCATCATCCTAATTTTGGAATATTCGTACAGAGCAGTTTAAAAAGTAAGAAACGATATTTTTGGTGATATGATTTCTCAGATCACGTAAATAACTTTTTTTGAGAGATTCAGATAGTATGTAATTTCTGAACTTATTTAGACTACATAATTTGTAAATAAATCACATTCACCAAAACAGTTGTATCTATTAGGATTAACTTATTGTGACTAAATTCTGCGTACAATATTATTATACGGATTTCATTCCCGACCTGCCATTGTAAAATTTTAGATCTTATTGAATTCACTTTACTTAACTTTTAAATTTGTGGAACTTTCAATTTTCTTAAACATTTCAAACAGTTTAAATCCATTATACAAGTGATCGAATAGGATATATCCTAAGCCTAGCGCCAAGCTGCGCTACAAACATTCTAGCTTGTCTTAATACATACATACGCAGTTTACCTAGCGTTCTGCGCTTCTTCTTCTTCTATAAACTATACGATATCCTATATTCCAAGTTTGATGTATTTATATCTAATAATTATCGAGTTATGATCAAAAATCGGTATATCAAAATTGATATTTATAAATATTATGAAAATGGAAACAGATACCAAAAACAAATGATTAACTGTCTCTACATATGGTATACAAGAATATATATATTGAATTTTGAAGTCTCTAGCTCTTATTGTTTCCGAGATCGGTTACACAGACGGATATGCCTCGATCTCATCTCAGTACATTGATCAAGAATATATACTTATAATCGGAGGTTACTCACATTTATGGCTGTTACATATATTCTCAGAAAACCATTATACCCATTTTGAATGGGTCGAGGGTATAACACCAGTAATTAAACTCTCTAACCGAGTCTGACGTGCGTCTGGACAGTGGCAAACCAGTTCCTGTAATATAGAGCGAGTCATGTTTGAAACGGAATGGGAAATGCCAAAGCCGACAAAAAGCCGTCAAATCTCAATTGACTCTAATAGCAATATCTCAACCGGAATCATGTTGGCCACTGCCTGCAACCAAAACAGTTTTAATACAACTAAAAAAAATACATCGATCAGATATGTTTACTAAGGTGAAGATTGAAATCAAAGAATACAGGCACTACTAAAAGATTAGTTCATTTTCATGGCGATTGCTTGGGGAGTGTAAACAAACGTAATTGAAAACCTTACTTGACTTTGGAATTTCAATGTCGCACCATATTTAATTGACAACAGCTGCGACCAAAAGCAATTCAGTTGGGCGTGTGGGCATAATCGACTAATGTTACTTGGAACGCGATTCCAGAAAGGCATGCCCTGCTTTAAATTAAAAGTATTTTTTCTTGAAATTAATTTATAATATAATTTCTTCCATATTTAACTATAACAAATCAACTAGAAGAACAACTATATTAATGATGGTAGGCAACAGCTGGGGCGGCATATGTGGCATAGTGACCAGCGGGCGCGGCAGCATAGTGGGCAGCTGGGGCTGCATAATGAGCCACAGCGGGGGCAGCATAGTGGGCAACGGGGGCGGCGGCAACGGTCTTCACGATGGGAGCAACGGCAACGGCCTTGACGAGGGGTACACGGTTGACCACAGCGTTGAAGCCGTTGATGGGATCTGCGGTGTACTGGACGGTGCGCTTGTAGCCATCGGCATCCACCAGCGAGTACTCGCCACGGACCACATCACCATCGCGCTCCTCCACCTGGCTCTTGGAGTCACCGGAGAGGGAGTCCTGCACATCGTAGGCGTACTTGTACTGAGGATGGGGATCGTATTCCTCGGCCGCCTTGGTAATCACGTGCTGGGCCACGGGCGCAATTGTCTTGACAACGGCAGCGGGTGCGGCGTAGTGGGCCACAGCGGGCGCAGCATGGTAGACCTGTGCGGCGGGCAGGAGACCGGCGCTGGCGGCGGCGATCAGAGCGAAGAGTGCGATGAACTAGATAAAGAAATGCCCAAATTTATATTCCGCAATACCCCGAAAAAAAAAGTCTTGCAGACATACCTTGAATGCCATTGTGTCTGAGTTATGTGGAGCTGCTGTTGAGGGCTGAGAGCAATTTGAACTGTGATTGCTGCTGCTGCTTGCTGTTAGCTTATATAGAGCAATCCACCTGCCGAATCGGGGTCTTGCTCCTCGTGGCCGAAGTCGCGTAATAAGTGCAATTCATTTATGCTAAATATGTGTGGAAAATGTAACATTAAAAGCGAGTGTGAGTACATTGTGTACTTAAACACATACATAGGAACGAGTCATACGTATTTAATATTTTGTCATCTAAATAAATTTAATATACTGGGGGTGGACGAAAACTGGTTTTTTGAAAGAAACTCCACAAATATGAAATAGTTAATCCTTTACAAAAATGTTGACACATGCGCAATGCATGTCATAATCATAATTGTCATAATTAAAATATTTAAAACAATTATTTCGATTTAATTAATATGCACATTTTTTTAATGGGCTAACATATTTTTAATAATTTTGCAGCACATAGTACGACCAGTATAAGTTGAGCTACTTTTATTTTAATTTGTTTTCGAGTTTCAAAATAATCAATGAATTTTGTAGCTATATATTGGTTCGTTTGGTGTTAATGATATCGAGTATCTAAATATATATAATATATATTTTTAAAGAACAATTCAATAGATTTGATGTTTAATATTAATTATATAATCAAAATTTTAATAATTTAATATTTAACATTTTAAAACCTTTGTTGACATACCGCAACTTATAAGTAGCAAATTTAACCATTTTTATTCAGAATGGAGCTGTTTTAGTAGACAATTCTTATTATGAAATTGCATAAAACCAACAATAAATGCACTCGCATTTATACCTGGTTCCAAAATACAAATTAAATGAACATCTAAGTTGTTCGTGAACTCAGCGTTACTTTAGAATAAGAATAATTATTTTGCGACTCAACAGTTTCATTACATTCAGCATTCAGCACGAAAGGTGTGTCAAATACTAACCAAACGTCTGCAATCCCATTAAAACAACCTTGGCAGTCAACCTGCTTGATCGCAGCACAACAATTAAGCGACTCAAAAGGAAGCACAAGGAAGCAAAAGGAAGCAGTTGACCATCCCTGAGATCAAGAAACACAAACCACGCCTTTCTCCTACCCAAGCCCTATGTACCTACTCATCACATCCAACCTAAAAAAGAAAACGAAATATCCATCTGTTAATGTAATATTATAAAATTTAATCATTCGCAGTTAAAAATTCCACTTTATCTTCTGAGAAACAAATTTAAATTATTTAAAATATAAAACTAATACATTATACTAAGTTATTTGTCAGCCATATATTCAAAAATATATTTAATACAACACTTATTTGTAAGTCGTTTCGCATATTTTTCGAAAACAAAAATTGTTTTTAATTATTCGCACACCATCAATTTGAAATGGATTTTTCTTTGTGCAATAACTGTAAGCTGTAAGAGGCATATTTAAAGAGCCAGAGCAAGTAATATGCACTATGGGTTTTTAATTAAAGATACCCATTTAAACGACTGGCCGAGCTGGAGAACCGAAGAACGTACGTGACAATTATACGTGACTAGCTTTTGGCAGCGTCCACCCGCAAATGCACTTTCAATATCATCGCGGGGCTGCGAAGCGCCAAAAATGAATTCCAATTAGGTGTCATCAATGTCAGCGTATTGACTATATAACCTTATGGCCGCAGCTTGGTCAGACATTCAGTGTTCAGCTTCTGCTTCAGACAGCACCGAGTTATCCTCCAATCAAATCCCAACGAAATGGCTTACAAGGTACAAGCGGCAGCTTGCAGGCACATGGATTACCCTAGGATACTAATCCCTTCTTCAACATTCCCCAGGTCGCATTCGCACTCGCTATGCTCGCCGTGGCCCAGGCGGCCGTACTGAGAACTGTGGCACCCGTTGCCGTAGCACCCGCACCCGTTCTGGCCAAGACCGTTGAACTGGAGGAGGTTGATCCGCATCCCCAGTACTCGTACAGCTACGATGTGCAGGACACCCTCTCCGGGGACTCCAAGGGTCATGTGGAGGAGCGTGATGGCGATGTGGTCCGCGGCGAGTACTCCCTGATCGATGCCGATGGCTTCAAGCGTACCGTCACCTACACCGCCGATTCCATCAATGGCTTCAATGCCGTTGTGCGCCGTGAACCTATTGTCGCCGTTGCTGAGCCCGTGGTTAATGCTGCGCCAGTTGCTGTATCCGCGCCGCTTGTCCGCTCTGCTCCAGTTGCCGTCTCCGCACCCCTCGTCCGCTCTGCGCCAGTTGCTGTATCCGCGCCCCTCGTCCGCTCTGCTCCTCTTGCGGTTGCAGCTCCTGTTGTGAGAACCGCTGCCATTGCTGCCCCTCTGAGATACACCGCGCCAGCCTATGCCGTTAGGAACTTGTAACTTGACCTGATTTAAATTGTTCTCTTGCTTATGATTATAAAACTAAATGTGATTGTTTTTTAAACATGTTGTTGTTTTTCTTGAAAATAATGGGACTAGAAATTGTAGTAGGGTTTCATTGTCGGAGTTTTTCAAAGTACAGATTTTTTCAAATTTGAGAAAACCTAAAAACTCTTAAATGTTCTTGATTGCAAACCCAGAGTTTTTTTAATGCAAGATAAGGATTTTAAGGACTGCATTTTAAAAACTTCACCTCCAACCTACAACTATAAAACATTTTAATATTTTCAATAGTTGAAGAGAATTGATCTGCAATGAATTTGATGATTACAATAGTGCCAGTTAAAATAATTAAAAATAATATATGCCAGTTGGCAATAAAGTGTTAATAAAACTTATATGTATATGCATTTAATTCGATATCGCCCTCAAGGCGAAATTGTGAAAGCGCCAAAGACACGAATCGCCCGCGGTCAAACAGCACCAATTGGAGAGGGTGTGGTTGTGCGTTTGTCGGCTCGTGTGGTTGTGTATTGAACACCACTTACCTATGACACTAATCTGCGCACATTTACATGTAGCAGTTGTTGCATAAATAAATACTATATGAATTTCGGTGCGTAATTACCTCGCTCGCAGTCGATAAATCAGCAAAAATAAATACAAGTGACAAAAATATGTTGTGCAAAAGAAAAAAAAATAAAAATATATACAAATTATTTCAATTTCGCGAGTTACAGTTGGAGTATAAAACCAAGTGGTGTGCAGTCTGCAAATCATTCCCCAGCTTCTCTGCTTTCGTATCACTGTTCGGATATTCGCCAAGCCCTCAAGCTCACTCGCCATGGCCTTCCAGGTAAGCCTTGTCTTTCATTGCGCAAATTGCCGGGTCTTTGATTTGTATATCCATTACCTTGCAGTTCTTTGCCATCCTTGCGCTCGTTGCCGCCGTCAGCGCCGGCGTACTGCCCGTCCAGCAGGTGTATCATGCTGCGCCCGCCCCAGCTGTCGCCTATGCCCATGCCCCAGTGGCTGTGGCCCATGGACAGCCAGTGCTGGCCAAGCACGACGATGAGTACGATCCCCATCCTCAGTACAAGTACGCCTACGATGTGCAGGATGCCCTCTCCGGTGACTCCAAGAGCCAGGTGGAGGAGCGAGATGGTGATGTGGTCCGTGGCGAGTATTCGCTGGTGGATGCCGATGGCTACAAGCGCACCGTCCAGTACACCTCGGATCCAGAGAATGGCTTCAATGCTGTGGTCAACCGTGTGCCCATCGATCACGTGAAGACCGTGGTCAAGACCGTCGCTGCTCCTGCTCCTATTGCAGTCGCTACCGCACCCCAGCACGTTGCCTACCACCAGCATCACTAAGTAAATCCCCCTCAGCCATTCCTTTTACTTAAAAGGCATTTTTATGTACTTAAATTGAATAAATTGTTGAATATTTCTAAGCACAAACGAAGATCTTGAATACGTTAATAGGCAGTTGATTGGAGTATTCGGAAGGTAAGGAAAAACAAATAAGGAAGACTATACTATAGACATACATATAAATTAAGAAAGGAATCAGAAAGTATGGAATATAATGCTACAAATATGTTAAAGGAAAGACCAATCCCTCTAGGAGCCCAACGAAAGCTGTGCAGCTTGAGGACTTTTCACTATAAAATTGAAGAAAACAATAAATATTTTTGATTGCTCTTAAAACAGTTCGAGGTAGTTCTTTGGGACAAAACTTACAACTCCCCAAGAAATCTTTGAATCGAAACACGTCTCAAATGATTTTTCATAGATATGAAATTTGAGCGCGAAACGTCAGCGACCAAATCTTTGACCCCCATTTCCACACCCCTCAAAAGAATTTGAACAAAGATCTTTGAAATTGACTTTGAGATTGATCGGATGGTAAAAAAAAAGCTTCATACAAATATTTTTCTCGATTTTTCCACACTTGCAGGTGAAATTTTTCCCAGCCTTAAGTGCACCGTTATCACATAAGGTAACTACAGTGAAAATTTCAGCTTCCCAGCTCTCACGCGTTGATCACCAATCAGTCAGTCAGTCAGTCAGGACAAACAGTTTTATATATAGATGTGGTAGCACAGATCAGCTAATTATGGAGACTGGCCATAGCCATAGCCAAGGACAAATTCATTCATATTTGAGATACCCTTCACAAGAAGAATTATTTTAACAGAATGAATTCAATCAACTTATGCAATAGAGTCTGATCCTCATTTGTGTTCGAATAATCCCCTAAAAACTTACAAAATCAAAATCACGTACACAACACAAAATTACATCTCAATTATGGCAACTGAAAGATCTCACAGAGGCACCACCTTGATACGACTGGCACACAATATATACTTTAAATCAATTTTCGACAGCACTCTGACGCAGATTGCACGCTTCCAACTCATTATGGGGAACGGAACAGCCCCACATTTACCATCTGCCTGGTACCGTTTACATTTACACCAATCACCGCAAATCGATGCAGACGTATTGAATATATCACGGGATGTAGATGTGTCCATATGTAACGCACATGCAATTGCCTTACACAAAATTCAATACATTGGGCCTCGCAAAAGAGTTAAGGTCAGAGATTTCGTTTGTTTTGGGCCTTTCGCCAAGTGCAACGCGCAATGTGTTGGAAAATGATTTACGTGGCTTTATTGTCTTAAATCGCTGCCATTGTCTTATCGTTCAGATAGCGACGCACAGGTATGGACAGGTCGCAGCTCTTGTACTTTCCCTTAACATCTGTTCCACGCACATCCACAACATGCCCAAAAGTGCCAAGGCACAGGCAGTTGGCCACCGACGCCTCTTTGTCCTCCAATTGCTGCTGGCGACAAGTGACCAGCGACTTTGAGTGTTAAGGTCAAAGTCAGGTTTTATGGTTAATTACCACGTGTCCAGCGCTTGGAGTTGTGTAGCTGTCCGGATGACATGTTCGTGTCTTGCGCCCGTTCCCATGCCTGGCCCAAAGTACAAATACTTTCAGCAGTAGCAGTAACAGTGGCTAAAAAACACAACGCACTACGTGCCAGACCGATTGCAATTACACCAACAAACCATTGAAGCAAACGAGCTGGCGCTGGCTGCTCGACCTACTGTCCGTGTACCTGGCCCATAAAACCTCAAGGCGATTACAAAAATGTGCGTAAAAACCAACACTGCGTACAAATCTTAAGCGTGTTTGCACTGCCAAACGAAAATTGAACAAATTTATTCTACATTAAATCTAAAATACTTTGAAAAATCTCAAGAGTGTTTAGTTGATTCAACATGTATTTTTTTATATATATTTTAAGAAGGATTAAACTCAAAAATTATATACCAGAACAAGAAAAAAACAAATTTATATTTATAAATGCTTATATACATATATTAACACAGATACATATCTGTTAACATATGGTGTTAATATTATTAAAAAACTTCAAAAAAATTTTGGTTTTACATAAAATATAAAAAAATACATATAAAATATACTTTTTAACACTTCTGTAAGTCTTATTTATCCACATTATTATACGAATTCTGGATCTTAAGCGCAAAAATTTAAGAATTTGACAACTGAATAATAATTTCATCATTTCATCGCTCTAATTTCTTGCGCTTATATTAAATCAACTTTTTTATCGCCATTTTCAGCCAATTCCATTAGCGATTGCATCGGATTTGATATATACTAAGACCAAAGATGTTTAAATAAATTTGAGATTTTATTTTCTGGATTCAAAAATAGTTGAAAATACTTTTTAACTTATATAATGCATAATTTTCAAATCGATAAAATTTAATATGATAACTCATATTTTCTTCCTTTCTTTTATATTGATTATAATGAAAAAAGCATTATTAATGATACACCAGCTAAAAGCCGTTGATCAACAAAAAAGCCACATCATTGCCAGTCTGAACATAATTTTGGACTCTCGACTTTACAAATTTGTTCGCATGCCGCATTCTCGGCCAACTTTAAGTGAATTTTTGGGCATCTCACGTAGCGGCAGCCGTGAATCATATGAATGTTTACATTTACGCGATTTCGTTTTGCTTTTGGCGGCATTTCTGTAGCCTTTGCTTTTGGCTAGTTCTTCCCTCTGGTCTTAATAGCTCTTTAAAGTGGTTCAGTGCCGGGCACGACCTTGAAATATTTGGCCACTGGAGAGAGAAAGTTAAATAAGTTTGTGCATGTAATGTTTTTTAATTTCTTTGGGAATTTTTTGATTTTTTGTGATTACTTTTAGCTTAAAAGTAACATATACAACTCGTACTGTAGATTTAGTGGCGTATAGCTCTTCGATAATATATTCAATGGGTAAGTCGACTAAGCCAAAGAGCATATCTTATAAAAGAACAACCGTTATGAAATGTCGGTTGGTTAAAAGTACACATATTCTATTCCAATATCCTGAACTCTTTCCAAAAAAGCTTGCTTGAGATTGCTGTTAAAATCCAAATATCTATGAGTAAGATTTTAAGATCAAACAACGAACTTGTTCTATGACATCACATTCTTTATTCAATAACAACTAACGGCAATTATCAGGTCGGGCAGCGCCTATTTGGTCATCTAATAGGCGTACGAGATAAGAGGCGAAGCGAACTGCGTCTTGACGAAGGCTGGACCTGCGGCGACCAGAGGAGCTGCGGCCTTCACAATTGGTGCCGGGGCAGCTGCATAGGCAAAGGGAGCAGCCGCCGCCAGGGGAGCGGCGTGAACAACTGGTGCTGGGGCAGCAACGACGGGAGCGGCACGCACAACTGGCGCTGGGGCAGCCACGACGGGAGCAGCGGCCACAGCGGCGACCAAAGGTTCACGGCGGACCACAGCATTGAAGCCGTTGATGGAGTCGGCTGTGTAGTCCACAATGCGACGATAGCCATCGGCGTCGTTCAGCGAGTACTGGCCCTGGACCAAATCACCATCACGGGTCTCCACCTGGGTCTTCGAATCGCCGGAGATCGCGTCCTTGACGTCATATCCGTAGGTGTATTGGGGATGAGGATCGTATTCCTCCACCTGCGCAACGGCGGCCAGGGGTGCGGCAACGGGAACGACACCGGCGCTGGCCACGGCGATGCAGGCGGCGAAGAGAATGATGAACTGCAAGTAGACGAAACACACGCAAACACACGTTTTAGATTCACTTTGCACTTGATGGGACGTGTAAGGATACCAGCTGTTAATCCTTTAGAATGCATATTCTTTTTTTCTGTCGGGGTAGGGCGTTTGGCTTACTTTGAATGCCATTGTTTTGAGGTTTGCTTGGGTTGCTCTAGATACCGTAATTGGATGTGAACTGATTTGAACAGTGTCCAACTGGGGCTTTTATACCGCGCTCGAGGCGATGTGCCCGAATTCGTAACCAAATGCGTGCACTTGCGTCACAAAACGCTGGCGACAATACCAAAATACAAAACAACCAATACTAAAATGCCAGACGAGCGAGACTAGAAGCCATGTGGTAGGTGGTGGAGCTGCTGGTGGAAGTGATGGAGGTGGCGGCTGTAGCAGGCGGGCGGTGCAGGCAATTGGCCAGCCGATCGGCCCAAGCACATTATTAACCAAGGCTAAGCGCGCAAGTGACAAAAGCAACAGCAGAAATGACGATGATAACAACAACAACAACAACAACCATAAAGGCATAATGCCTTCTTGATTGAATTGAACGCACTCGAGCCGAATTAATATTGGCCTCAGATACTCAGAAGTCGCATACTCAAACGTTGTGCACTGCGAGCCACTAAATCGATGCGATCGCTCATTTGTTTTCGCTTTCGAAAACCACACACACCAAACACACACACGCACACCCATTGTGTGAAATATCGTATGCAGCGCATGCGCAAATGCATAACAACGGTTTTTCAAATTGACTGTGCCCGTGCACTTGCATGCACACATACACACACGCACACCCTTGTGTCTTTACCTGTCCCAAATGGCACCTTTTGTTGCCCCCCCCCCCCCCCCCCCCCCCCTGTATTACTAGCCACAAGCGACCTTAAAAATGTATTAGGCGCTGGCGCTCCATTTGAACTCTAATTGGATTCCACATGCTCGCTTTTTTTGTCGCCACCTTCCAAACTTCCGATGCGGACTCCGTACATGAAAAGTAGAAACCCCAATCTTGTACATGCGTAAGATTTTTTAGTTAGCCGAATAAAGGCCCATATTTATGTACTTTAAGCTCATTAGAGTTCTTATTTCGATTTCACTTTTGACAAAATTTATAGGAAGCATAAATACTGCCCATCTATGCTTTAACAGGATTATTTCTATTAAGAGGTAAATTCTTAAAAAAAAATAAATATATCTCTAAATTTTCCGTTCCTTCTTTAACAGCATTTTATTGTTTAAAAACGGTGATAACATTTTTATTATAATGTCGTAATAAATTAATGATAAAATGAAGAACAAATATTGTATATTCAATTCGCGTGTGTACAAATTGGCGGGAACAAAAAGCAATGAATCAAAAAGTTAAAACGAAAAAGTCAAACAGAGAAATCAATGCATCTGATCTATCAGACTGTTTTCTTGCAGAATGTCAAGAAAAAATGTTTAACAATATAATAAAATAATATACTCTTTATTAAGCAAATCTTTGGGCATTACTTTTATTAATGTATATACTTCTAAAAATATTGAAGGTTGATATCTTATACATTTCTCTCTTAACTCCATTTAAAATGCTATAAGCAATTCCTTTTAACTCACATTTACCATTCCACAAACAAACATAATTGATATATAGATAGAAAGACTCACTAAACAATAGAAAAAGAAACAAAGAAAAGATTACAAAGACAAGTGATAGCCATAAAGTGTTTGCTTCAAGAACAAAACAACAAGTAAGCGTGCTCTAGTCAGGAGTGTCCGACTAGAAGATACCCTAAGCTAAAATATAACAAATTCATTCTGTGTATTTTTAAAATTTGAAACATATAAGAAAACTAGTGTAAACAGGTTTAATGTAAGTAAATATAAAATTCCATTCATTATAAAGTCGAGTTTGTACATTGTAAGCACTCTAGTCGGAAGTGTCCGACCAGAAGAAAAATATAAAAAAATCATTTTACGTATTATTCAAATTTGAAACATATATGCAAACTATTGACAACAGGCCTTATGTAAGTAAATGTTTACGACTATAAAAGTCAATTCATTTTAAAATCGAGTTTATTTAAAAACACATTAAAATAGAGTGTATGACATCAGACTTAGTTTCTCTCCCACTATCTAGTGCTGGAACACATATGAAATGGTTTGAGGATGGGCAACATGTATCGGCGATTTTAACAGGCCTGGCACGTGGTGGGACACAAGGGTGGGTGCAGGGGCTGCGTGAACAACATGTGCCACGGGCGCATGGTGTATCAATGTGGGTGCGACATAGCTTCTAACCACCACTGGCTGGACAGGCTGCAGTTTGGGCATTGGTATAACCACTTTCAGCTGTTTGGCGACTGGTGCCGCGGCATTCAGTGGCTCACGTCGCACCACAGCGCTGAAGCCACGCTTCGCATCGGCCGTGTAGTCCACAATGCGCCGATAGCCATCCGCATCGTTCAGTGAGTATTGGCCCTGCACTAAGTCGCCGTCCCGTGTTTCCTGCTGGGACTTGACATCGCCGCTCACCGCATCCTGTACATCATAGCCGAAGGAGTAGCGAGGATGTGCATCGAAGGTGTCTTCGCTGTTGGCCGCTTTGCGAGGCAGCAGGGCGGCGCTGGCCAGAGCAAAAAACGCGGCAAACAACAGAATCTATTAAGAAATTATGTTTAAGGATTGTGCAGTTTTATTGTAGTATCAACAATCTGTGTTCTTACCTTCGTAAACATAGCAGACATTTGAGTAGAGTATATTTTCAACGTTTTGTCCTGTCGACTGCTGAACTGGCACAATAGCTCTTCAGGTCGCCAGAGCCTTTATATAGTGCACTGGATGCAGGTTAATGGTACACTAACCCAATGCCACAATTAAGCGCCCCAGTTACCAGTCGCCCGCCTGTATGCTGCTAAGCATCACAAGGTCATGATGATACCTGTGCACACCAGACCTCCAGACGTGCGCCTAATTGGAGACGATCTCAACAAGTTTATCAGCCATCGACAGGTTTTTGGCATAGTCTGGTCGTGTAATTGACTTTTGCATCGCAGCATCATGAAAAGGTGCTTCTGCCACCTCGCATAATAATTGCAATATCAGAAAAGTACTTTTGGATATTTATGACATTATTTTATTAAACTGACTAGCTTTTGAATCGATAACTTTAACTTCTTAATTATGCTTATCACTTTTATTTTCTCTTTAATAATTCTCACCTCAACCAATAGTGAACTCTTTCCTTTGAATTGTAACAGGATGCATCTTTATAATCTCGTGAAACCTTCACCGATAATTCTAAAATGTTCAACATTTTGTCTAAATTTAAATTACAAACAAACCATTAATCTGCAGCTATTAAATAAAAAATGTAACATTGCAGATATCTAAAGGCCCAGCTCGTGATAAATCAATTTTTATGATCCGCCTAAGAGTATGCTTTATAATTTTTGTGCTTTTATTGATTCCGAAAGATGGCGCGAATAATATATTTAAAGCTAAAAATACAAGATGAATTAAGAAAAAAAATATGTATACGCAGTTATTCTCATCAAGAGGGTAATAAAAGAAATATCGTGTATGCAGTTATTGGAAGCGTCTTGCACGGGAAACAGAATGGTTACATTTTCTTAAAATTAACTTGTGAATTTGAAACCCTTTCAGAGCGTATTATAATTTTGTCGTGATCTTTGTATCGCATAGAAGGAGACATTTCCGAATAAAGTATATTTATCTGTTTCTATCTGTCATCTATTTTTTTCTATGAGACCTAGTCTCTCAGTTTTAAAGCTATCGTTCTGAAACATTCCAGTCCCTCTTTCTGTTGCACGCAATACATATGTCGGAACCGGCTGGATCGGACCACGATATCATATGTCTTGCTAATCTACATATCTTGTCCAAACTCGTCATTTATAAGTTTTACTAAGCTCCCCATATATATGCAATCCTATCAACATCAGACCACTATATCATATGGCTGCTATAGGAACGATCGGCCGAAAATTAAGTTGTTGTATGAAAAACCTTTTTGTTTATCAAGATATCTTGAACATACTCGGCGTTATCTATTTTCCCTTTCTTAGATACAAGCAAAACTAGATGAGCCTTATTAAAAGGTTGGGTCGGTAGAAGATACCCCTTCTTTCTCATTGATATATGTATATATACATTTTGCATATATGTTTGCATATATTTTTGTTTTATGTATGCATAAATATATCAATTTATATATATCTGAATGAGAAATTATATATATATTATTATTTTGATTATTATTATTATTATTATTATTATTATTATTATTATTATTATTATTATTGTTATTATTATTATTATTATTATTATTATTATTATTATTATTATTATTATTATTATTAACGTTATTATTTATAATTATAATTATTATAATTAATTATTATAATTTGATTATTATTGTTATCTATATGTTTATTATTAACTTTTTTGTATCCCCTATCTTGACATAGATGCTTCATTCTGTTTCACAATTGATGCTTAACACTAAAACTATTCTTATTCACATTGCATTTTTACTTGTGCATTCATTTTTCCTTACCTATCATAATCGTTTTATTATGTTTTAATAGCAGCTACTCTCATTCTGTCTCCATGATACCTTTTTTGAATCCATCATCAAATATGATGGTATAGACATATTTTATTTGTGTGCGATATACAATGTGTTAAAAAATTCTTCCCGTTTATATGTTTACCGCCATTATTGGCCACATTTTTCTATCCGGTTATTCAATTTGTATAACAACACGTTCCTTTTGTCCTCTGTCAGCATCTGTACAAATTTGGCAACTGATGATTCAACTGTGGTTGAAGACATATGGGATTTCAGTTTTGTACCTCTATGCAGCTGTCCTGTGGCTGGAGCTGGGCAAACACAAGGGTTGCGCTGGAACCCAATCGGGGTCGAAGCCACATCGTCTTCATTCCCATTGGTCCGTTCCGCTTGAGCAGCGGATAAGAGCTGTTGCTCTAGTTGTCTCGCTCTCACTTTATCCGCGTGCAAAATGAAAGAAACTCAACAGTTGCCCGCATGTTAAAGTCTTTGGCATTATTTTTTTTTTTTTTAACATGAAAGCTTTGCATAAATTTGCATTACAATAAGCCAAGGTCACATTTAAACTCATTCACATTGTAAATACTGTAATAAATAAATTACTTGATGCCATCAGATATGTAAGTCAGGTACATATAAATAGGAAAATACATAATTAAATATAATTTCCTTTCACCTTTTGCAAATTAAGCCTAGCAGTTGTCAAACGTTGAGCTACAAAGGGTGAAATTTCAGGGCAAGAAAATAATTCGATAACCAACCATTTTGCAATTTGTGATAAGATAACGTTACTTATTTATACATTTTGCCCTGACATAAAGCTTTTATGTGCACGCACATATCTAATTTATTCAATATGAACTAATTTAGTATGTGTCTATTTTTATAGCAAAAGTTTAACCGAAGCGTACAAGAGCATATCTAAATATACCGAACTTTTATCCTCTCTAAATGACTGATTGACTGATTGAATTTTATGCTGGATTTATTTGATCGGTTTTTTCTAAGTTGGATTTTAGATAATTCTACCTGAAACTATGGAACTGCTGTATTAAACTCAAATTTAATTATGAAAATTAGCTGAAACCGCGTTTCGCCCTTCTCGCTTCACCCCTTATAAGGAATATGACGGTCAAAGTAGGTTTGAGCAAATTATCAAGGCGAAAAGTTACGTTCAAAATTTAAAGATTAAACTTGGCTAAGGCAAGTCCTATTTATACCCACTCAGCATGTTATTTTATATCAAACACCTTCATTTTTTCATCACTCTCCCAATTATGCAGGATATTGAACATAACGTATTTTTAAATATCGCTCACTGTGCGATTCTCATGAATTTGAGTAAGCCCCACAGATGTTTATGCTTATATTTTATATAAACAAGTGGTGATGGCCATCTTATTAACATTTTTTCTGCACATACTTTCATTCAAATATACATATTCTCTGAGCTGTAGCTCTCTCGCTTTCTAATTTTATCACTCTTTCTCCTTCTCTAACTCTAAGCCTTTCTCCACTTTCCTTTGTTTATTAAGTGATGTTATATAAAGGAAATATACATATATGGCAATTGAGTATAGTACTTACATACGTTTAAAAATGCACCCAGTTAATTTATAATAAGTCATATGGGATTAAATCTATCAATCAATAAGAAGATCCGCGTCGATTTGTACATAGAGAAGAGAATCTTTCGCTGCACTTTAAAACGATTTACTTGTGATGAATTTATGCTCCAATTATGAGTTTTGACCAATAATAAGCTTAAAATCGTATTAATTAAAACAATGAGGACGTCTGGTCGAATTGTAATTACATATTCAATTAGAGGAGGCTCGGTTAAAGCCCAGGTAACATTTTGGCGACAGGCTCCGTCGGCGCCGGCGTCGTCTTCGGCGTCTGTCAATGCAACAGGCAACCGGGTACAGTAAAGCCCGATAAGTGCGTACAATTAATTAATCATTACAGAATTGAAAACAGAACACAAAAAAGCCAAAAGCTGCACAAAAAATGGCACAAATATCGATTTACCCAAAAATATAAAAGAAAACTACAAAATACCGCCAATGCGACAGACACAGACTCGGACTCGGACTCGCACTCGGCGCTGTGACAGTCGGCGCCAGGCAATCCATCAATTTATGCAGCGCCAATTACGACTGTTACTGTTACTCGTCACGTCTCCAACCCGGTCGGATACGGGCAGCTGCCACTGGAAGTTAGAGAAACTTTCAAAGTCGCTTTGTAACGTGCTGTCAGCCACATAGCTGACGGCCCTCGCCCTTCCCCGCATACACTGGCGTCAAGGGTTTGGTCACTTTTTTTGGGAACAATTGTAATGAGCTTAGTCGAAATATCAGTCAATTGTCGCCTGACCAATGACGCCTTCTAAAGCACTCGTCAAATCTAAGTGTCATACTTCCGACGGCGTCAAAAGCATTTATAGACCTTAATTATGTGACTTACATGTGACCAGTGTTCTCCCCGCCCCCTTCCCAATATGATAATTTAAGTACTAATTAGTATAAGTTATATTACTATAACAGTTAAGGTGACTACAAGGATGAAGGCACTTTATGAAATTGGTGAAAATGATATTATACACTCGCATTGATCTAAGCTTTATATATACTTGTTTAATCGCCAATACAAAATATTGCTTGTCATAAACTTAAACTTAAATTTAAATTAAAATCCAAAAATTTAATTATCAGCAGTCCCATAATCCTTGGAATATGGAATATATTCCTTGGAAGTCTTGCTATATTTATGCACCCAGTAAAGCAGGAATTAATATGTCTTACCCGAAAGTCATTCTATCAAAAATAACTATAACGTTAATCACAATAATAGTAAAAATGCTAGTAATAATAATATAAATCACAATTATTTTAATAGTATTATTGTATAATTATTTGTATTAATATTATATAAATATAAAGGCCCTACAACTTGCTGGTAATTTATATTTCTTGTGTTTCGTTTGTTAATTTTTTTATTTTTTTCGTGAAGGACCTCCCTTTTAAAGGATCTTATACCATAGAAAAATCCATTAGAACTACTGTTGGCATATCAACTGACTTGACTTTCTATGTAGAGGATTATTTTAAGCAACTCCATAATCTGTTATCCACATTTACTGTAACAACAAGAAATCTAGCCAATTTCATTTAAATCGTTATAAATTAAATATTATATGTAAATATCTACATCCACCATGACAGGCATTTTCTCAGCGTTTAACTTTCCTTCTCACTCACGTTAACTTCTAAAATAATAAATATTAAGTTGAGCAAGCTTAACGCAGTTTTTTAACTATATGTTTAATTGTCGCTTTCATGAAGCATATACTTATTAAAGTAAATTTATTGTTTGCTTAAAGACCCCAGAAATCAGACCATTCCTAATTAAATGTTGTATTCAAAATTCGATTGTAAGCCAATTGGAGTTTATAGTGCTGGGTAGCTCGGCTTAGAGTGCGTTCTTAAATATGCTACAACATATAAATATATATATATATATATACATATATATAAATCAATATCTAGATACCTTTATAATCCTTGTAAGACCCAATTTCCTCGACTGCAGATAACATAATAAACTCATACCCGCGTGCAAGTGTATATGTGAAACATGGCCACTTGCCATGTGGGACCGTTGAATGTGGAACTCCACGTACGCTTGGAAGCTGAATATAAAAACACACACATCCTGTTACTATTAATTGCTGCTGTCCGAAAATATAACGAATCACCTTGGAGCGCTGGGCACAGACCCAAAAGGACGAGACTGTGAAGCAGCCCAAAGTAAGTTGTTGGCAACGGGAATGGGAATGGGAATGGGAAGTGGATTGCGTTTGGGATTGGGATGTGGGTTGGGCCACGGCCAGCAAACCACCAACTATGAGTACACGACAAAAACTTGTGAAAATGTCAATCAACTTGTACAAAAACCAAGAGAAAAAAAAGACAACAACAACAAGAAACACAAAACTTTTCCAAAGAGACAGTAAGACAGACAGACAGACAGACAGACAGGAGAAACAGACAAGCAGCCAAAGATGATGCATTGTGCATGAAAGGTGCAATGCCGGTTTTTGGGCATGAAGATATCTTGAATATTGTATCTCTATCTGGGCAGTGTGACAGACTCGTAGGGGGCGCCTACGAATTGCATCCCACTGAGTCAGAGTCAGAGTCAGCGACGAGACGAGACGAGACGAGACAAGAAGGCGATTTAAATTCCACAGCAGCCATAGATGGGCCTGTCATATGTGGATATGATGATGACGATTGACAGCTGCATCCCCTGCCGGCACATCCCAGTCGAGCTTCGTTGACCAATTTTGGCCACTACCTGGACTGTCAATTCATTTGGGAGTTTTGGCTGCGTGTAGGTGCGAAAACACAAATAACAAAACGTGCCAAAAGTATCAAAAAGAAAAATGTATTCATATGTGTTTGCTATATGTGTGTGCCTGTGCCTGTGCCTGTATGTGCGTGTGTGGCTTCCAGTTAAATAAGACATGAACATGGGCGTAACTCTAATATCAGCATTTGCCCTGGGACCGGCAAAAACTAAATGAAAACAGCAACTGCCAAAACCGGTAATGACTAACCCCCGTGCCGGTGCCGGGAGTTCACTGATAAGAGCTCTTGTGCCCGACACTGAACGGTGGCGCGAGCGAGATACCACTACGCCCGCCAGCCGAGGTACAGGCCTAGCCCAGTAGGTGCAAGCGAGATGACGGCTATTGCCGGCTCGGGGCGTGGCCTGCAGGCATGCCGCTCGTCGCTGTGTGTGTTGCTGGGTTGGCTGCCCGGCCAGCCAGCAATCAGTCACGACTTGGTTAGCGCGCATGCAGCACGAAGTTCATGAACCGTCGCGTAGTAAATAAAAAAAGAGACCGTCGGAACTGCAACTGAAACTGTTATGGCGTGTTTCTTATAACTGTTTATGACAGTGTGCCAAAATGTATTGAAAATCAAACGAAAGCCGCGTGTTTATAATCAATTATTTAAATATTCAAACGTGCCTCTGTTTCGACAAGCTGTTGGCACACCCAAAAAATTTGTATTTGCAAAAAGTTAGTTTGTGTTAAAAACGAAATAAGATTGATATTGCCCAAAGAGAGCATTTTAGGAATTATCAAATACATATTGCCTAAAATAATGACTATTTTTGAAGCCATAATTAAATATCAATTTCATATTATTGCAACACTTTTTCTATATTCCATATTCAATATAATACCTTATATAAGCTGATGTTTAAAAAGAATGATTCCCCTTTTCGTTTATATTAATAATTAAAAATAGCCCAATATTTTAAGCTCACATGGTTTTATCCTTTTGAGCTGGAATTTAACTAAAAAAATAAATTAAAATTCAAAGTAATATACTTCTTAATATAATGAACTCTTTTGAACCACTCGATGGCTAAAATGTAACTCTTAAATGGTCTTATAATTTTAGGCGATATCAAATTAAGCAACATTTAACCTTAGACACTAATTTAGGCAATTTCCCAACTGGTTTTAGACAATAAAATTTTTTGAGTGCAGTTTTGGCATACAATATGATGGACGTTAGCAGCATGTACGGCAACCATCCTCATCATCATCCTCATGCCACGGCCACTGCCTATGATGGATATGGCAGCAACTACTTTCCCTCCCCGACCCACCACCACCAACAGCAGCAACAACAGCAGCAACAACAGCAGCAGCAACTGCATCAGCAGCAGCAGCTACAGCAGCAAGTGCAGCAGCACCAGCAACTGACCTACAGTGGCTACGACAGCAACTCGCCCAACTACTATCAGCAGCAGCAACAGCTAACGCCACCGCCAGCACAGCACCAGCTGCAGCATCCACTTGCACAGCAGCAGCAACAGCAGCAGCAGCAGCAGCAACTATATCCGCATTCGCATCTGTTCAGTCCCAGCGCTGCGGAGTATGGCATAACCACCACGGCAGCGGTAGCGGCACCCAACAGCACTCCATTGCATCCCACTAGCCACTCGCCCGCCGACTCCTACTATGAGAGCGACTCAGTACACTCCTACTATGCCACAGCCGCTGTGGCAACGGTGCCGCCACCTGCAAACAATTCACCGGTAACCGCGGCCAATGCGACGCAGCAACAACAGCAGCAGCAGCAGGCATTGGATGCGCATGCGCCCATCATTAGCTCCGAGAATGGCATGATGTACACAAATCTGGACTGCCTATACTCGCCCAGTGTGGCACAGCAGGCGCAGACGCAGCCACATGGCTATGGCGGTCAAATGGAGGAGAAATATGCAGCGGTGCTGCATGCAGGTTACGCGGCACCGCCGCCAGGTATGCTGCTGGAGGATCCGGATCCCATGATGCAACTGGCTGCCGGGCAGCAACAGTCGCCGCCGCAGATGTGGCATCATCATCAGCATATGAGCGGTGGCTATCCGCTGGATGCGGGCATTGCCATGGACTATCCACACGCCCACTTGCATCACAGTCTCAGTCATGGCCATCTGGCCAGTTTGACTACCAGCGCGCAGCAGGCACAGCAGCAACAGCAACAACAACAACAGCAGCAACAACAGCAACAGGCAAACAGCTCACAGGCTCAGGTAGTGCCACAGCATTCGATATCACCAAACGGCTCGACCAACTGCATGACCATGGCCCGGAATCATCGCAGCGGTGGCGTCACATCGCCTGGTAGCTCCACCTCATCATCAACAACATCTGCGTCCGCAGCCAACTCCACGCACCAAGCGAGCTCACAATCAAAATCGCCAAATCACGCGGCCAACATTCCAACTTACAAGTGGATGCAGCTCAAACGGAATGTTCCCAAGCCACAAGGTGAGTTTTGCCCCAAGCAAAAGCTATGTTTACCTAATTTAGGTGCTCCCTTCTCTACATACATATATATTTTATTTAAATACATGCCTGCAATTATAAATATCTAATTGGTTTTAGCTAAAGATCTACTAATGTCGTGAGAGAGAAAGGAATTGCCTAAGCAATTACATACGGGGTGTAAATTTATGAAATTAAAGGCAAATTTTATTGTAAATGAAAGAAGTCTCTTTTTCTAGAGCGCAGTAATTGTCGAGCAGAAAGTTAAATAATCTGATGTAAGATTTTTCAAGCCCTTCAAGTTGTCAACTTCGAAAACTGCTTCAAAAGTTTAGATATATCTTCTTTTTTTGGCTTTTCTATTCCTTCATTTCAAATCTGTTTATGTATTGGTACAACCATTAAGTTTTATAATCGGACCTTGGCGTTTGGATTTTGAATATTGAACAATGGCAGAGACATTGGGGCATTAGGGCCTCAAGGGTTTGGAACAGGTCAGAGAGTGGAAGAATTTTTAACGGCGGGTGTTAGAACTGTTGTCTAAATATTTGTTGTTGTTAAGACTTGAATACTCTAAGCCAAATGTTTATATTTTATTTCATAGTTAATGAGGCTAAAGCTATCTGGTTCTAAAGCTGTGATTACAAAAAATCCAAAAAATGCTCAAGACAATTGTTGATTAACTCCCCATTTTTAGTTTAATAAGCTGAGATATAAATTAAGTCTGCGCCAATCAGCACAACTTAATATTAATTACATAATCGCTATAATAAATATTTTTAGGCAAAACACAATAATAGATTCCGCCAATAAGGGCCAATATATTATACATTCCATGTGATTATCAAGGATAAACACATAAACCTTTTAATTAGACCATTAATCATTTTGGCACCTTATTCGAATCGCTTTAACATTCCAAATTTAAAAAATTATAAATATATTGGATATATGGCTAAGAAACTATTAAATAGTTTTAATAATTGCCGTTTCAGCTTTCACCTAAGACCATTTACTAAAGTCAATTTAAACGCTGCCATCAATAGATCACAGCTAACAAAATGAATATATTAAGCCAGTTAAACAAGATATGCCTAATTAGGTGTTTAAAATATTACATACCACAACAAAAAACGCAAAAGGGTAAAACCAAAACAAAATGAAATACAATTTTTAAATCAAAAAAACGATGACTTTCAAAACTGATTGACAGTCCAGATATACGCGAAAGAACCAAGTGCGTCAGACGTCCCACCGAGGGCATGTCACCTAAAAATAAGAATGTCTCTTCAAATGCCAAAGATTTAGCCTGCCGGTCTCTCATAATTTTCGCTGTTTGAGACGCAGTCCCTCTCCCCCCTCCCCCTTATCTACCACTTTGGCATATTTCTTGCATATTTCAGATAATTTTGTCAATGCTGTGCAGTCAGTCAGGTTGTCACTTGTCACGGCGCTGAGAAGTTTTGTATCTTGAAATTAGCCAACTAAGAAAAATACTCAACGGATGATAAACTGAAATTCATGATAAACTGCGCGTTCAGTAATATGGGGAACCTGCGTATATGAAATATAAAATGCATAATTAATATTTTCGTAATTGGGTTTTGATTTTTGTAATCTGTCGATGAATATTTTTAAGCTTAAGAGCGCTTATGTAAATCATTTTGCTGGATATCGAAGAGCTCAAAGCGATTAAATTTTTCTTAATTTAAAAATTTGTCTGATAATTATCTTACCATGGATATTGGATTTATTTATCTCAATCAATGTACAACAAATTTATTTTTATGAAAAATATTAAAAGTAGACGAGTTTTCATTAATTATTAAAGTCAGAATTTTGCGAAAACGTTCTAAACAAGCTAAGTCCATCCCTCAAATATGGCAGAAACAAAAATTTCAAAATTTGTAGTATACAAAACAAACTAATTGTTAGGAACATTTTTTGACAATCCATTGCGGTTTTGAGGGCCGCAAATCTATCCAAAAATATCGATTTCATCAACAATAATTGTAATATATTTCCTATACGCCAAATATTACCATTTGAGATATATGCACCTGATCATCTATTTCGATAAAATATTCTCTTAAAACAGATTTAATTCGTTTTTACCATAATGTATTAGCTTTTTTAGTTTTGTGAAATATCAAATTATATTGGCTGCTATATTGATCTACCTCTAATGAAAGTGATTGATTTGTATCGCATCCCTACTGAATACGTGCTCTGGAGCTTCTCTGAACCTGTTGGGCGAATCGATGTGACAGGCGCATTTGACTTCCAGACCTCGAAACTAGTTAAGGCACTTTACCTGTTGCGACAGCAGCCTTACTTCGATCAGATATCAGCCAGAGCGCTCCTACCACTTACATCTGGAACGTAATCCCCTTGCTACACCAATAATCATACAGATATTTGCTTATTAATGCTGAAAAGTGTCATTTACATGCATCGTTTTCAATTAAACGACGCCAGCGATCCCCACGCGCCGCACCCAAAAGCTGGGAGCTGCGAGCTGCGAGCTGGGATGACAATGACGTGTGCAAGTGGAGGCCAGCTCCATGTCCGAGCCCAAATCCGTATGGGGCGCTTAAACGTCGCGCGTCTCGAGCAAGTCAAACAAACAATTGAAGCGTGCAAGAGCAAGGGGAAAAGAAAAGAAAAGAAAATGAAAAGAAAATGAAAAATCATAATAACATAAAATAAGTATAAAAGAAATGCAGCACGGAATGAAGCTCAAGAATAAAGCCAAGCTACTCACATGGCAGTTGTCGCTGCGACTGAGGCTAAGGCTGTTGCTGTTGCTGGATGCCGATCTGGAAGTCAAGTTGGCTGTCAGAAAAAATGATTATTTAAATAAAGAGTTCTTGTTTGCGACCCGCTGCAACCGAACTGTCACTGAGTCCAACCTCATGAGCTGGACAAGAGACGCAGACGAAGAGCAGGTCTCGTTCTCGATCGCAGTCTTGATCGCCGTCTTGGTCTCGATCTCAGTCTCTGGCTCGGTCTCTGGCTGTGCGCGCACATGCTTGCCTCAGTCCATCTGTCATGTCATCCATTTTCAGCCAGGGAAACAGCATAATCAGCAATCATGGTTATAAATGGTAGCATTCGACATATTGGCATTCACGCACAGCAGAAGCTTGCCAGCAAAATGCGTATTTCGAAATGCCTACATACACTCGCACTCGCACTCACACTCACATTTGCATTCATATTCTTTGCATTCAATTCAATGATCTCTAATGTGTTAATCAGCATTTTTCAATAACCAGACCATATCACAGACACTGGAACGAAAGAGCGGGTAAAAGTGGGTGCGCGGGAATATTGACTGCTAGAAAATGGAAAAGCTCTCCCATGCTACCTCCAGATCAATTCACTGTACACTAGCCAAAGATTAATTGCATTTTTGCTAGGGATTTGCCAGTGACAACTTGGCCGGAATTTGTCAATCGACTGCAAACTTCATATAGACAGAGAACTCAAATTACAAATATAAATCGATAGCTAGATGAGTAAACAGCGGAATGCAGTGAACATTCAAGGAGTAGCTACTCACTCCCCAAGATTTAAATAAATAAACTAAAAATAATATTTAATAAGGAAATAACAAAAGTTGACTTTACTTTCTAAATGTATATATGTTATATGCTCAACAATATATAGCAAATCAAATAATTCAGATGAAAAGGAAAAGTAAACAATATTCAAACTATAAAACTATAAGTATAATATTTAACTTAGAAGCCATTTAATATTATATAGTGAGAAAAAAAACATAAAAGAAACTACAGGGTGTGTTTTTTATGCATATGTTTTAGCCAAGTACTCGATTTCTTACTAGCAATATTTGTAAAAACGAATGTGCTGAAAGGACTTTTAAACTCTTAAAAGCTAATCACTGAGAATCTCTTAGTCGTTATACTTGTTATACTTTACTTCAAAGGGTCAATACAAACAAATTTTTAAATATTTTTAAATGGGTCAAGGGCATTACAAGGAAATTATTAAGATCTATCATACGTTTAAAGTCAGCTTTAAAGTAATTGTAAAACATATGCAATTTTGTATAAAAGTTATCTGGACTTAAGCTTTATCAACTATGCTCCGCCCCACAGCCAGCGCACATTGATTGGGAGTTTTCTCACCCGTTTTATGAGTGCACTTATCTAATACTCGCATAGCCCTAAATCATGCTCCACACGATGTGAGTATTTGTTAACGTTTATTGGACTTTTTATGGGCGCACATAATTGAAAACTGTCCACCGTCTTGTGCCATAACAATTTAATTACTATCCGTAGTTAAATAGTTGTGCCTCGTTTGCAGTTCGGGCTCGTGTTTTATTGTTTTTTAAACGATCTACCACTTTGTCGCGGCATTTCCCCCCTTGGGTGTTGGGGGCGGGGCAACACTCTAGTAACACGCAAACTATGCCAGATGAAAATATGAAATATGAATAGAGCTCACCAAAGTGAACGAAAACGAAACCTAACACAAGAATTAACATAACTGTCGGTCCGACCTGTAACTAGCTGAGTAAAAAACTTGGGCCAAAGTTCGACAAGGTGTTGCTGGGCACGGGGGTAGCTGGCGAGGCATATGGAGGAGTGGTTCGGCCCTAGCAGTTCGTTGTGGCGTATTCAACATTTATTTGATGTGATGTTTTGATATTTCTTGACACCAACACGCGACGGCGGCACAGCGCCGAATGTGCCACAGTGAAATGAATTAATTACGTGCATTTCAAAACAAAACACAAAAAAAAATGGATGAAAAAATACAGAAAACAAAAACCCACAAAAAAAAGGCAGACTATTTAAACGAAATGATATTGTGGATAGAAAAGTGACCACCAGGAATTTGAGATAAGATCAAACGCTTGGCCAAACCAAGCCGAACCGAACCGAACCGAACCGAAAGCCGTACCGAGTCCAGACAGCGGCCCGCCCGCCTGTCTGTCACCGTACGTCACAATGGCTAGTTGGATCGGCCTC